AGGTTTGTGTGTCTCACATTTCCAGTAAACCTGCAGGTCAACTCTACACAGGTGGTGGGACAAAAAAAAAAAAAAAAAATATAATATATATATATATATATATATATATATATATATATATATATATTATCAAAGCCAAAATATTCAACAGTCAGCTGAAACCAGTGACAGTCATGTACCGTGAAGGGAGGCAAATGATGAATTCGGTCCTCAGCACCGAGGAGCAAAAACAAGCAGTGGAAATGAGAAGTGACTCTGTTTACACAGTGTGACCTAGCAGCGACCCACCCAAGGTGAGGACCTGAATCATTACAGCAACCTTTTAAAAACATGAGCCCCCAACCCCTGCCCCCTGCCTGCTAGCTCAGAATCTCTGAGAGTAGGATCTGGAATCAGGGTTTTTCTTCAGCCTCCCAGGCGACCCCCCCCCCCCCGTGGGCACGCTGGGACCTGCCATCTGTCTGTGGTTATAGATCATACTGGGTTCTTTTTTTTTTAATTTTTTTCTTCATACTGGGTTCTTATGTCTTACTTATACATTTTTCCCCCCTCCACCCCCGTTTCCAGTGATTACAATTCACTTGTTCCATAGAAGCAAACTGAAAACAAGAAAACATTTTTTAAATTTACTTTTCAGCCTCAAGTAATCATCTGACCCATTTTTAAAGAAATCTAACACGTTCTCTTCTTGTGATTTAAAAAAATTATATAAAGAAACCAGCACAGAGCCAGGCATTTAGCAGCACATTAGATGCTTCTGTGTGTTTTCTCTGGCTAGTTATAATTTAAAAACAAGAAATATGGGGATGTTAACCAAATCTTTTGGTTCAAGGAATAACATTTCTCTTTAAAAACCTTAAATATCAGAGCCTCTCGGAGTAAGACCATAAGGCAGCCTATTATCATCAGCTTGACGTGGATGTAGTTCATCAGTTGTTCTCATAAAACCTACATGATGATCAAAATGCCCCCCATCCCCAACCAAAGGTAATGCATGTCCCATGTAACTTCCCCAGGTTGGAAAATCATCTGTCACTAACCTACCATAGCACCTAGATCAGAAGCCTGGGGGGAGAAGGAGAAGGGACCACCCCACAGCCTCCTCTCGGGTCCCTGCAGCGGGGGCTCAGGGAAGCCCGACCCGGCCCCCACCACTGGATACAGCACCCTGCTCGCTTCCCATTTGCTTTTTCAACCTGACTTTAAAACCCCCTGGGGGACACCTGGGTGGCTCAGCGGTTTAGCACCACCTTCAGCCCAGGGCCTGATCCTGGAGACCCGAGATCGAGTCCCACGTCGGGTTCCCTGCAGGGAGCCTGCTTCTCCCTCTGCCTGTGTCTCTGCCTCTGTCTCTCTCCGTGTCTCTCATGAATAAATAAATAAAATCTTTTAAAAATAAAAAATAAAAACCCTTGGGTGGCTCAGTGCCTGGTCCTGGGACCCAGGATGGAGTTCCTCCCTGCAGGGAGCCTGCTTCTCCCTCTGTCTCTCTCCCCCTCTCTCATGAATAAATAAATAAAATCTTAAATTAAAAAAATAAAAATAACCCTTTTCGCCTTCGTAAAGAGTAGGATTACATTTCGGTAATGTTTTCCCCATAAAAAGGTTTACTGAGAAGCGTTTGTCTTCACCAAGTAAGAATAAAGGGGCACAGAGGTTCCAATCAGAATATTTTCATTTTTTCCTCTTAAAAAAAAAATACACTTTCTGCCCCCCCTCGGAGCGATAGCTCGTGGCCCTTCCTCCGTTTCACAGCTGCTTGTGGGCAAACTCCTTTACAAAGGGGCTAGATTACCAGCTTCCCTCCTCCTGGGCTGACTCCAGTGGGGTCATTATGGTAAACTGGGATAAAGTCATTTTATACACCCTGACTCAGAGAAATCTCGTTTCCGCTGAAATTATCTTTCGAAGCAATAAAAATGGGTTAGAACACAATGGTTTGAGCCGCATTTCCTAAGACCCTTGGGTGACTCCCCAGGACAGGCACAGCAGGACGCTGCCCTTTGCCATGGGCTGTCCTTAGCAAAGCAAACAATGGCTTTGTGTTATTTTTACCCTTGCAGGGTTGCTTTGTTCTTACCCAGAAGCTGGGCTTTGGAGATTGGCGTCCACCCGCAGGGCCTCCGGGGATGGCCCAGGTCCTTTCTGGAAGAGTGAGCCAGGTGTCAACAAGTGTGATGGCAAGGGCTCGGCCACAGCCACGCTCACCTGCAGGTGGTTGCCAGAGCAGCACAATTGGAGGGGCTCAGGGAAGGGGGACTAGAAATTACCTGGCCTGGGAGAGGGGGCGGGGCAGAAGGTGTGTGGAATCCTTCCAACACAGTGGAGCCCATTGCCAGGGGACAAAAAAAAAAAAAAAAAAAAACTCTCAGCCTCTTGTGAACACACACAGGGTCCAAAGAATGATGCAAAACATTCTTTTCCTATCAGGACATGTCTCAGGCCTGCTCTTTTTCTCCTCCTTTGCTAGCTCCCGCCTCCCCCTAGAACCTTGTGGTCAAGCCCTTAGCGCAGGACAGACACACAGATTCCTGGCTCCATCTCAGAGTAGGCAAGTGGGGATCCTGATGGTCTTCAGACTAGACTATTTGGGGAACAATAAAACCCTCCTGCATTTATTGATCACCTCCTACAGCACAGTAAATTTTTTGCTTAAAAAAGGCTCTCACCCTATCATCCATGGCCAGATGAGCTCAGAATGCTGTGATCTTGAACACTGCAGCAGAAAAGGTATTTTGGCTTTAAGTCCCAAAGATTTATTTTTTATTTTTATTTTTTTTTAAGTCCCAAAGATTTAATGCAGAGGTTTAAATGTAGTGGGTTATTTCCACCATCCCACACTTACTGCGTTTAACAATAATAATTACTAGAACAACTAGTACTTACTTTGTTTCTGATAGTTTTCAGTGGTTTATCATCTCTTTTAGGCCTCCCAGCAATACTAAGAAATAGATTTTATAATTATGCGGTTGTGCTGATAAACAACCGGAAGTTAATTTTCCAAAACTCACAGTAAATAGTGGCAGCAGGATCTGAACCAGGAGGTTTGAGTTCCCCAGCCTGCGTCTCAGTGGCCCTATTTGACAGCTGTGTGGGCAAAGGGTACAAAGTTCCAGTAACACAAGACGAATCCTCTCTCAAGACCTTACGTCCAGCACGGTGACGACAGTTAACAATACTGTCCTGTAAGCCTGAAATGTGTTGAGCATAGATCTTAAATATTCTCACCCCCACACCCCCCAAACACAAATAGAGGTGATACATATGTTAATTAGCTTCATTGTGGTGCTCATTCAACAATGTATACATACATCAAAACACCAAGTTCTATACCCTAAATATATACAATTTTTATATGTTGATAGCTCAAGAAAGCTGTTTAAAATGAAAGCAAAGGGGCGCCTGTGTGGCTTAGTTGGTTGGGCGTCCAACTCTTGATTTCAGCTCAGGTCATGATCTCAGGGCCCTTGGATTGAGGCCTGTGTCCGCCTCCCTGCTCAGTGGAGAGTCTGCTTGGGACTCTCTCTCTCTCTCTCTGTCTCCCTCCCTCCAGATAAAATTATTTTGCCACAACCCATCAACAGTTTCAATAAGAATTTTCCAGTAAACACAAATTTTAGATTATTAAAATACTCTACATGATATATATCAATTTTAACTAAGTGAGTATACAGGACAAATGCTTTTGAGGGCAAAAATGGGTAAGTAAAATGCCTTGTGATTTATTTCATCAACTAGTGTCATAAAACATAAGTGCACGTGTATGTGTTTAATAGTTAATGGCAGGTGTTTGATCAACCCCAAATGACTGAATCACAATGCATTCTGCAGTCAACTTGCACGATATATTTGTATTAAGTAAAAGGTTTTCTAAGACTCATATGCTTTTTAAGCTCATTTATGTCACACGCTGTCTTATAAACTGTGTATCTTACCTTTGGGGCTAAAACAGGGCGGGTTGCAAATATTCCAAATATACAATTTCCTACTGTAGTTCAGTAAAGACCACAAACCTATCAGATTTCTTCCAAAGGAATCCTCAGAACACTGAAGGATTTTTTTCATGAGAAAGGACACCAACAAAGTTTATGTAATTTATATATAACCAAACCATTTCCTTGGTTCCCCAAATAAATGTAAACTCTTCTAAGAAAAGTAGATGGTGAACCCTCTTGCACTGTTGGTGAGAATGTGAACTGGTGCAGCCCCTCCGGAAAACTGTGTGGAGGTTCCTCAAAGAGTTAAAAATAGACCTCCCCTACGACCCAGCAATTGCACTGCTGGGGCTTTACCCCAAAGATACAGATGCAGTGAAACGGCAGGACACCTGCACCCCGATGTTTATAGCAGCCATGTCCACAGTAGCCAAACTGTGGAAGGAGCCTCGGTGCCCATCGAAAGGTGAATGGATAAAGAAGATGTGGTTTATGTATACAATGGAATATTCCTCAGTCATTAGAAATGACAAATACCCACCATTTGCTTCAAAGTGGATGGAACTGGAGGGTATTATGCTGAGTGAAGTAAGTCAATCGGAGAAGGACAACCATTATATGGTCTCATTCATTTGGGGAATATAAATAATAGTGAAAGGGAATAGAGGGGAAGGGAGAAGAAATGGGTAGGAAATATCAGAAAGGGAGACAGAACATAAAGACTCCTAACTCTGGGAAATGAACTAGGGGTGGTGGAAGGGGAGGGGAGGTGGGGGTGAATGGGTGGCGGGCACTGAGGGGAGCACTTGACGGGATGAGCACTGGGTGTTATTCGTATGTTGGCAAATTGAACACCAATAAAAAATTTATTATAAAAAAAAAGAAAAGTAGATGGTTTGCACAAAGGAAGAGCTCAATAAACATTGGTTGAATAAATTAGGCTCTCGCTTTCCACCACCCCCACCCCCTCCCCCCATACACATAGAAATACTACTAGCAAATACCAGAAGGCCACTAGCTCTGATGTCCAGCCATCCCCTGCCCCTGCGGAAATAAGAGTCAAAGTTTAACCACCTGAGCAGAACATCTTTTATTGCAAAGAATTATCACCTGGTTCTCTTGACTACAAATCATTCGCTGACTTCATTAGGCGCCCCCAGGAAGTCATAAGGCTGCACGGGGTGCCACGGACCTCCCCGGCCCAGTGAACTTACTCTGCTGACAAAGCTCCTCTTGTAAGAGAAGTTGTAGGTACAGAGGCGAATTCTCTTGCTCGCTGCTGGTTCCCCGCCACGCCAGCCACCCCTAACCCCAAAGGGGCGGGAGGACCCTTCCAGAAAACGAGCCCTTTTCTAAAGGCTGCTGTCCCCAGCCCCTTTGCCTAGGAGCTGCTCCCCTCCCTAGAGCAGAAAGTGGGCCCCAGGGCGGGGGTCACTGACCAGATGTTTTGGTGTCCTGCAGAAATGCACGTGCCCAGGTCAGAACCCCACGCACACCCAGAAAAAGCGCGAAGCTCAGGTGTTAGCAGCGGCCCTTAGATGCTCAGTTCTTCAGTTTTGCTCAGCGTCCAGTTGATTGAGTAGCTTTACAATCATGCTGTTGATTTTCTTAAGCTCGTCTATGTCCTTTCCCTCGGCTGTTAGTCTTCTTGACACATCATCCATCTTGTTTCCAGTCTGAACTTCAAAATAGAAAACAGACTGTGTTACATTGGTTTCCAGACTGTTCCATCGGGACTCGTTAGTGCCTTGTGTTGGTGCTCAGCTGAATGCTGAAAGGCCCTCTTGGCAAGTCCCCTGCTCCGATAATCCCACGCAGCCCAGAAGCCCGGGAGAGAAACTGCTGAAGACTACAGTTCTCTACCAAAAGGATTATTTCTCCAGTTTATTGGAGCCAGCTTAGACTACCTTTGGAAGCTCTGCACACACTTTGGCTGAGAAACACCACTGTGAGCAACCAGGGGAAACCTCCAGCGTGCCTCATTATGATCATGTCAGAGAAGGGGCTGTTACACTGTCTTTTTTAGAGACTTCATCTCAAAAGGATTTTGGCTCCTCATCGGGAAATGAGGTTTTCTGGGTTTCAGCCTATTTTGACATAGGCTCTGCTGGCTATGAATTACCAGCCCATAAATGAATATGTAATAACTCCCCTCGGACCATCCTAAGAGCAGAGACAATATTTTCAAAATAAACAGAACTCCTGGCAACAAAGTCAGCTAGGGAACAGAACGCCCTGAGGTCTGCTTATCAGAGTTAAAATTTCCAGAAAACGCAGCACAAAATCCACACTTAATATTTGAGCTTCTTGATTTCCATTTTAGGCAAGTTTCTTCCAAGGTATCTTTCAGGAGCTAATGATATTGGTAACGTGCCATGAAGCTTAGCGGATAAACTAATGTGGGAAGGTGAACATCAGAGCTTCCCCTTCCAGGCTCGGGACAAACTATTGCTCAGAAGCTGCTTCTTCCTCACGTCTGAAAACTTATGCTGGATAAAGGATGGCCCAAGACATGAAGGAAGGATCTTAATTGAGACTTGCTGCAGAGCATGGCAGAAATACCACTTGCCTCTGGGAAAAAAAATGTGAAACTGAAGTAAATTCCTAACACATGATATCCTTTCCCCTCTTGGGAACCTTCTAGAACATTAGTCAGAGAAGGAAGCAGCAGCCATGTTGGCTTAAGTGGGTTCCACTTAATTAAATTTTAATTTAATTCCAAATTAAAATCCCCCCCAAAAAGTTGCATGTGCAAAAATTTCAGAGAAAAATTATATACTGACTTGTCTCTTGGAAACTCAGAAGTAAAAAAAAAAAAATTACAATATTAAAAAAAAACAAAACTTTGAGCATTATTTGACTCAGCAATTCTCAAATGCATTTGACCAGAGAATCCTTTTTCTCTTCAGGCAACACTTGGTAACATCCCATGCCCCTAAGTAGTCTCTAGAATACACGGCTTGGCCACTAGAAACCGTGACCTGAGGCATCCATAGTCATCCGCCCTTGCTGTCTATTATTTCTTTATAGGACAGAGATTATGACAAAAACATAAGGCCCCATGCTCTAATAGGAAAGTAATCAGTATAAAATAAGTTGTCTCTCTCTCATGTAAAAAGCCCAGAGTTATAAAGAATACAGGTTCTTTCACTTCAGTGAAAAGGCTACAAATCTGCACTAAATCCCACTGAGAGCAAAAAGATTTCCATGTTAAAGATGAGCACAGGCCAAGGTCACTTCCAGATGCCTGTGAAATAGAAACATTAAATACTATCTTAAGAGGTAAAGTTTTTTTTTTAAGATTTTATTTATTTATTCATAGAGATGCAGAGAGAGAGAGAGAGAGAGGCAGAGACACAGGCAGAGGGAGAAGCAGGCTCCATGCAGGGAGCCTCGATCCAGGGTCTCCAGGATCACACCCCGGGGTGCAGGCGGGGCTGCCCAAGAGGTAAAGATTTAAGATAATGTACTTATAATGTACATATGTGTCTGGCACAGAGCAACCGCCCCATAAAGACATTCTTCTCTATTCATGTCTTCCTGTTTCTTAATATAACTTTACCCTCAATATAAAACACCAGCAGCAAATATGAAATAAATCCTATTTACAATGACGGTGCTAAGGTGCATGCTCTGTGAGGTCAGGCAGGAGTGTCTTTGGGGACTTAGTAGCTGCGGACCTCGGGCACCGTCATGAATCGAAGCCTCAGCATCTGTAAAACCAGAATAATAGTAGATCCTACACCACAGAGTCGAGAGAGTGTGAGCAAACAGACATCACGCGCTTAGTCACACGCACAGTGTGTGCAACAGTGAGCACCCAAAATCTAGCATTTGTCATCATCCTTATCCTACCTATGATCCCGCAGAAGAGAGGAGTTCCTTTGGGGGGCTCTCCTGCCGCGGGGCATTCCCAACCTTTCCTAGTAGTGCAACTCAGTACGCAATGGTATATGGAGCAGTAATTTTCGTTGGTATAACATTTCAGAAGAGCACTCCCCATGGGACCTTTCTGGCCCCGAAGGTTCAGGAACAAGCCACATGCAGCTGACAGATGCAAGGGCGCCCTTAGCGGGAGGAGGGTTGCCACTGCGGCTTCTAAGTGCCAGAGGGCGGGGCGGGGCCCGGGAGCCCCAACCGTGGGAGGTCCTTGCCCCCAGCTGCGTAAAGACCTTCCAGCTGGAAGGAGGGCCTTGGGGAAGAAAAGGGGCCTGAAGCTCTAGAACAGTCGCACCTGGGGCGCCCGGGGGCTCAGTGGGTTAAGCGATTGCCCTCAGCTCAAGTCGTGATCCTGGGGTCCTGGGATCGAGCCCCGCGCAAGCCCCTGCGCCCTGCGGAGCCTGCTTCTCCCTCTCCCTCTGCCCCTACACCCCCCTCCGCTCATGCTCTCTCTCTCTCTCTTTTTAAAAAAAGGTCACGCCCTCTGCCCGCCTGTCTCCCCCCATCACCCCCATCACCGCCACTACCGCAGGATTAATCCTGAGTGGATCTAGATTAAAGGCGTTCCCGAGGGATCCCTGGGTGGCGCAGCAGTTTGGCGCCTGCCTTTGGCCCAGGGCGCGATCCTGGAGACCCGGGATCGAGTCCCACGTCGGGGTCCCGGTGCATGGAGCCTGCTTCTCCCTCTGCCTGTGTCTCTGCCTCTCTCTCTCTCTCTCTCTCTCTCTCTCTCTCTCTCTCTCACTGTGTGCCTATCATAAATAAATAAATAAATAAATAAATAAATAAATAAATAAATAAAATAAATAAATAAAAATATCTTAAAAAAAAAAAAAGGCGTTCCCGAGACAAGGCTCTGCTCCCGCTTAAGTTTCGGGGGCTACCGGGCCAGGGGGAAGGAGGGGGAGACGACTCCCTCCCCCCGTCTCCTTCCACGCTGCGCCCCAGGGATGCGAACCCCGGAGGGGGGCTCGCGGGGGCTGCGGGCTGCAGGGGCGGAGGCAACGTGCAGGGGGCCCGAGGGGTCGGCGGCCGAGGGGCGGTGTGTGCCAGCCCGGGTCACGCTGCGGGGCCCTGCCGCGGAGCCGCCAGTGTGGACCGGGAAGCGAGTGGCCTCATCGCCCCCTCGCGCTGCACTGGGGACCCCGCAGGTGATTCCCGGGACGTGACAAAACCTGCCCCGGGCTTGCGGGCCGCACGTGCCCCCCAGCAGCCCTGCCCTGCGGGGCGGAGGGTGGGATCCGGGAACCCTGCACCCCCCCCCCCGCCAGGCCGTCAGGCCCCGGAACGCGCTCACCCGCGGCTTCGTGGACCTGCGGCGCTGTGGGCGTGTCCCGGTGACCGTCACCGTGCCCGTGGGCCCCCGTGGTGGGCGTGTGTCCCGGTGCCCGTGACGTGCCCGTGGGCCCCCGTGCTGGGCGTGTGTCCCGGTGACCGTCACCGTGCCCGTGGGCCCCCGTGCTGGGCGTGTGTCCCGGTGACCGTGACGTGCCCGTGGGCCCCCGTGGTGGGCGTGTGTCCCGGTGACCGTGCCCGTGGGCCCCCGTGCTGGGCGTGTGTCCCGGTGACCGTGCCCGTGGGCCCCCGTGGTGGGCGTGTGTCCCGGTGACCGTCACCGTGCCCGTGGGCCCCCGTGCTGGGCGTGTGTCCCGGTGACCGTGACGTGCCCGTGGGCCCCCGTGGTGGGCGTGTGTCCCGGTGACCGTGCCCGTGGGCCCCCGTGCTGGGCATGTGTCCCGGTGACCGTGACGTGCCCGTGGGCCCCCCGTGGTGGGCGTGTGTCCCGGTGACCGTGCCCGTGGGCCCCCGTGCTGGGCGTGTGTCCCGGTGACCGTGACGTGCCCGTGGGCCCCCGTGCTGGGCGTGTGTCCCGGTGACCGTGACGTGCCCGTGGGCCCCCGTGCTGGGCGTGTGTCCCGGTGACCGTGCCCGTGGGCCCCCGTGCTGGGCGTGTGTCCCGGTGACCGTGACGTGCCCGTGGGCCCCCGTGCTGGGCGTGTGTCCCGGTGACCGTGACGTGCCCGTGGGCCCCCGTGCTGGGCGTGTGTCCCGGTGACCGTGCCCGTGGGCCCCCGTGCTGGGCGTGTGTCCCGGTGCCCGTGCCGTGGGCCCCGTGCTGGGCGTGTTCCGGTGACCGTGACGTGCCCGTGGGCCCCCGTGCTGGGCGTGTTCCGGTGACCGTGACGTGCCCGTGGGCCCCCCGTGGTGGGCGTGTGTCCCGGTGACCGTGCCCGTGGGTCCCCCGTGCTCGGCGTGTGTCCCGGTGCCCGAGACGTGCCCGTGGGCCCCCGTGGTGGGCGTGTGTCCCGGTGACCGTCACCGTGCCCGTGGGCCCCCGTGCTGGGCGTGTGTCCCGGTGACCGTCACCGTGCCCGTGGGCCCCGTGCTGGGCGTGTTCCGGTGACCGTGACGTGCCCGTGGGCCCCCGTGCTGGGCGTGTTCCGGTGACCGTGACGTGCCCGTGGGCCCCCCGTGGTGGGCGTGTGTCCCGGTGACCGTGCCCGTGGGCCCCCCGTGCTCGGCGTGTGTCCCGGTGCCCGAGACGTGCCCGTGGGCCCCCGTGGTGGGCGTGTGTCCCGGTGACCGTCACCGTGCCCGTGGGCCCCCGTGCTGGGCGTGTTCCGGTGACCGTCACCGTGCCCGTGGGCCCCCGTGCTGGGCGTGTGTCCCGGTGACCGTCACCGTGCCCGTGGGCCCCCGTGGTGGGCGTGTGTCCCGGTGACCGTGACGTGCCCGTGGGCCCCCGTGCTGGGCGTGTGTCCCGGTGCCCGTGCCCGTGCCCCCCAGCGGGGAGCCCCGCGGTCACCCGCCCGCCGCAGGACACGGCCAAAGCCCCGGCAAGCAGCGTGTAGGTCATGAGAACAGGCGCGCGGCCTTACCCGTTAGAAAAATCACGAAGGAGACGAGCGCCAGGCTGACAATCAGCACAGTCAGCAGCCCCGTAAAGAACAGGCCCCGACCGCCGTGTCCCGGGTCGCGGGTGTCCGGGAGCTCCTCCTGGGGGGCTGACAGGGAGCAGAGGGACAGTGACGAGAGCCGGGAGCGCAGCCGCGGGGCCCGGGACGCGACCTGCTTCAGGGCGGGCCGGGCCGAGGTTGGGGTCGCCTCCTCCCGTCGGGGTTCAAAACGCAGGCGGCTTCGCAGCCTCCTCGCGGTGGTTCAAGGTGCTGGTAACCCTGAAGAAGGGAGCGAGGGCTTCCCAGGGGGGGGGGGTCCCCTAGGTGCCATCAGGGGTCAGAGTCCTGGAGGCCTCGCGCCCTTCCTCCCGAAGTGACCCCGGAGGGAAACACAGCCGCCTGGGGCCATCTCCTGAGTAGAAGGTGTCACCTGGCAGGCTCCTTGCACGGGAGCCCTCGGGGAGCCATCGGGGAGCCATGGGGGAGCCATTGGGGGAGCTATGGGGGAGCCATAGGGGAGCCTCTGTCCATTTAAACAGGGAAACGGCCCGAGGTATTCAGGCTCCTTAGAGCTTCCTTGGGAGGGCCCTGCTCCCCAAACAGGGTTCTTCCCATGCAGTGCCCTGGAATCAGCCTGCACCCCGGAACGCAGCTGGGGTCCCCGCAGCCTGAAATGCCTGCGTCTGGCCATCACGCCGCAAGGCCTGTGTGCCCAGTGACACCCTAGGACACCCGTGTGTCCTCTCCCGCAGCATCAGTCCCGCCGCTGGCTCCGGCAGCCTAGCCCGGTGGGTGGCCTTGTCCTGGGCTGCAGAGCACAGCCCCCGAGCCCCGGCCACCACCGGGCTCCCTCATGGAAGCGACGGCCCTAGCAGGCCCCCAGTACCTGTCTATGAGACTGGCGGCAGTGAAAGCAAGTGAGAACCTGAACACACCAAAATGAAGCACAGTGAGACCTCGGGAAGGACTTAGAAGGGGACTAATAGGTGTGAATTTGGGGCGGGAACGGAACAGGTGGCCAGTGGAAAATTAGGGCCCGTGTTTGAATGTCAGAGTTGAAGCTGGAAAAATAGGGCTTAGTATTTAGTAGAGTTTTGCTTTTCCCCTTCCCGTGTTCACCCTTTAACTGGGGCCATTTGCAACTTGGAAGTAGGAGACGAAGGGGACTTCTTAGCCCAACAACATTTTCAGGACTTTGTAAAAGCGGGATGAACGTGTGCCGCATTTTCTCCGCAATCCGCTATGAATGAACGAGAGCTGTCCAGGGAAATGGGGACCCGGGGGGCCTGGCTGTGGTCCCCGGAAGGTCGGGCAGCAGCCGAGAGGGATGAGCAAGCCTCTGGGAGCCCCCACGCCTGGCCGGGGGAGAGCGCCCCAGGACTTCTCAGCACCCTTGAAGACAGATCCCAAATCTCGCTTAGAAGCCAAGGAAGCCCATAAGCCTGTCAAAGACTAAGAGAACAAAACCAAAAACTGCCTAATAATAACTAGCACTTCCCTCCTAAGCTTTTCCTACCCCCCACCCCGGTCCCCCCCACCATCCTCCCCCCAACCCAGGTCCACACCAGCAGCGCGTCTGCAGGTGGCCCGGAAGCCGGGAGGGCCAGCAAGCTGGGAGGGCACACATACGGAACAGGGGCTGTGACCCGGCGGGACAGAGGCTGAGCTTGTGTAGGTCGTTTATGGAGTCCACGACGTACAGCTTCCTCCCCTCGGGCGAACCCCGAGAGCCGGCATCCGGGGAGCAGTGAGTCATCGTTCCTGGAAGAAAACCTGCCATGAGGCAGAAGGCTGGGAGTCACAGGCCGCGGGAGGCCGCAGCCACATGCCTTACCCCCAGCTGAAGGCCCAGAAAAGCCGGGTCATCCAGGGGCCCAGAGCCTGTGGGGACCCCTTGGGGCCTGTTCTTTTGCTCAGCGGCTCAGCTCCAGTGAGCGGCCCAAGCTGAGCCCTTTATGTCTCACTTCTCTGAACGTCCTCTCCTCCCCACCTCCTCAGATTTCTCAGCTCTCCCTGCTTTCCCTGGACCTGCTTTTCATTTTGTAATTCACTTTTACGTAGCCTTTTTTTGTTTTTAATTCATGAGAGACACACATAGAGAGAGAGAAGCAGAGACACAGGCAGAGGGAGAAGCAGGCTCCATGTAGGGAGCCCGACACAGGACTCGATCCTGGGTCTCCAGGATCACTCCCTGGGCTGAAAGTGGCACTAAGTGAGCCACCCGGGCTGCCCTACACGGCTTTCTTTATGACAGCGTGTATGTTCTGCTGAGGTGCCTCAAATTCTTCGCCCCAGAAAACTAGGTATAAAGGCAGAGAAAGATAAGACTAAGCCAGTCGGCCTGTGGCCCAAAGATTCCGAGGGAGGAAGAGAACAGCACCATGAACCATCCTAATTGCATGAGGCTTTAAAACAAAACTGCAATTTTCTTTCAAAGATTCTATGTGGTTTGTTTTTGGGGTTTTTTTGAGACAGAGAGAGCAGCGGGGAGGGGCAGAGAGAGGAGACAGAGAATCTCAAGCAGACGCCACACTGACAGGAGCCTGACACGGGGCTTGATCCCACAACCCTGAGATCACAGCCTGAGCTGAAATCAGGAGTTGGGCGCTCAATCGACTGTGCAAAACTGCAATTGTTATATTCTCCCTCAATATGGCAAAAGAGTCTCTACCCTAAATGTATCCTTTAGCCGGGAGATGCTGGCTCAGTCCTCCAGACAAAATCTCTGCAAGCTCAGGGGCTATAGACAGGAACCATACGGCGGGTTGGAGGCTAGACTCTGGGACATCTGAGGTCTCTTCCCTGAGTTTCCTTAGATCGAGGTCACTTATATAATACAGAATTTTAAAAGTGAGGCTTATGGGGCACCTGAGTGGCTCAGTGGGTTAAGTCTGCCTTTGTGATCCCGGATTCCTGGGTTTCACCCCTGCATCAGGCTCCCTGCCGAATGGGGAGCCTGCTTCTCCCTCCGCCCCTCACCCCGCTCATGCTCTCTCTCTTGCTCATTCTCTGTCTCTCAAATAAATAAAATCTTTTTTTTTTTTTAAGTGAGGCTTACATTTAAGGTACTATTTTCTTGAAGCACAACTTCAAGCAACCCTGAAAAGCCTGAATGGTTCCAAAAGGTCTATTTTAAGATGTCTCTCCAGGACAACAGAGACCTTGTGGCCTTTTAAGTACATGAAATAAAGGGCTCTAGGAAGACAAATTCAAATTACTGTCAAAGCCATCTCTGTCACAGTTACCTCTTTGCCTAAAATGAGTCTCCTGGTGATTCAGGGCCTTGATGTGAAAGGGAGTATAGACACGCTCTGGTCTGGTCCCCCTCCTTCCCACGAGGGAGGAAATCGAAGCTCGGCTGGTGAAAGGCCCAGATGGTACAGTTAGTTGCAGGGCTGCGAGCGGGCCTCTTGCTTCAGAGTTCGCCGTGTCCTCCTTTCTTCTCCACTTCCCTCCCTAGCCGTCTTTCAAGGCTCCCATCAAACCTCACGTCCTCTAAGAATCAACCTGCTTTTCCTTTGTGCCTTTGCTCAATGCGGTGCATTCTCCCAACACTTCTACAGTTTTCCAGCATTTATTGCCACATCTTTGACTTTCCCAACTGCCTGCAAACTCCTTAGGGTGGGCACCAATCCTATTCTTCTAATGCCCAATGTCAAACGTATAAGCCAGTGACTTTTGTGAAGTCGGAGCAACTAAAATGTTTCATTCAAGATTTGAAGCTCACCATTTCCAAAAGAATTTGAGGCAGTTAATAATAAATACAGGCATAGAAATAAAACTGGGTGTAAAAAATCCCCATGTGCTATCCACCTGGACTCTGGTAAAGTCCGTAAACTCTGTGCCTGCTGATATAAAGCCACACGCTACTTCCCATAAACATTTAAAAATGTTCCTTTAATAGCAGTTACAGAATGAAGAAAAGTAGGAGAAACCAAATTCAGAAAAAAAGAAAGGTGTGAACACTTGTAGAAGATCTGATAAAAGAATCAGCCGCTTACTAAGTAGACTACATTGCAGTCTAAAATATTAAAACCAAGAATGTCCCAGTGATACCTGAAACCCACTAGTACTTGGGGGAAAATATGCTCCCGAAGCCCTAAGGAAGACAGTGGGTTCAAAATGGCCTGGGGTGTTAGGTGGCTCAATCAGCTGCACCTGCCTCTTGATCTCGGCTCATGATCTCAGGGTTGTGGGGTCGAGCCCCACGTCCCAGCTCCAAGTTCAGCGGGGAGTCTGCTTGGGATGCTCTCCCTCTCCCTCTGCTCCTCCCATCACACATGCTCTCTCTCTCTGAAATGAACAGATAAATCTTTTTTTTAAAATGTCATGGTCTAATTAAACGTTTTCTCAAAGCTAAAAACTAAACAAGGTGGTTCAGTTATCTTGAAATTTTAATTAACAAAAAAATAGAATTCTCTGGGTATCTTAGATTAGCTGCTACTGAAGCACCTTAGATATTGATATTACTGAATTCCAAATATACCTCATGGAGCATTCCTAAGGGAATGACATGATCATTTCTTTAAAAAGCAGCAGCAGCAGCAGCAGCATGTAAAATAAGGGAGCCTTGGAGATCAATCCGATCTTATCCTCTCATAGATGAAACCGGAATGGCTGAGCCCCGGTCACAGATTTCTATTCTTTTAGAAATGTTTTGCATTTTATCATCTCTTCTACTTTACTCTCCCAAATACTAATATTTGATGAGGGCTAAAGGTTGTGTGTGTGTCACATCACGGGATCATCACTCCAGCCACAGCTTCTATTTTGGGCCTGGTGACTGACGTGTGGTTCATTTTTGGATCTCTGACATAACGTCCTTAGGCCTTAGCTTCCCCTTTAGGAACGGAATTCCGATTGCTCAGATCTCCCACTGAAGCTCGATCGACGTTTACAAAGTGGAGGACCAACCAGAAAATCCTGGCCGCAGTGAGCTAACCTAAGAGCAGGGCAGCGGATTAAATCTCCAAATTATGAGCCTGGCTACTAGTGACTACAAAGGTGGCTCAGCACAACATCAAACCCAAAAGCACTAAGGCAGGAACTTAGAATAAGCTAGGAAGTGCCCTGAAAGTGAATTTCGTCTTCAGGGTGAAGTCACAAAAATAAATGGATGCCACTTTCATGTATTTTTAAATTAACTCAACATGCAAGAGGACAATAAGGAACTAGCAAGGAAAATGGAGTTGGCTGGCTGTGGTTCGTGGCCCCCAAGGGCTTGCCAGTGACCCTGTGAGAAAACGGATAGAGGATCGCATGGCCCTGAAACCGGGGCCCATGCCGCTGACTTCCAGTTGTTGCTACGTCTCCGTATAAGGGCAGCAACCAGCGGGCCGGGCGGAGAGGCCACAGGCGCTAACTTCTGCATCACACTAGCTCAGCCCCCCTCCCTCACGCTGCTGTGCAGATCCCATTAAGACCCACCAAAGCAGGGATCCCTGGGTGGCGCAGTGGTTTGGCGCCTGCCTTTGGCCCAGGGCGCGATCCTGGAGACCCGGGATCGAATCCCACGTCGGGCTCCCGGCGCATGGAGCCTGCTTCTCCCTCTGCCTGTGTCTCTGCCTCTCTCTGTGTGACTATCATAAATAAATTTAAAAAAAAAAAAAAAAAGACCCACCAAAGCAGCGGCCCGTCCATGGAGCCCTTTCTCAGACCTTTGCCCCACAACATGTAAGTCCGTTTTCCTCCAGCTTAGATCAACCCTCACAGCTGATTCTTAGTATCATTTGAGAATCCTTTCACTGCCTACAAATAAATATTCTGACAAAATAGTTGTCTGTGGAAAATTGCTTTGCTCTTTATTTTTTTTCCCATAGGTGCTCGGAATCAAAGCACAGAAATAGCACACCCGTACTGCTTGCCCCGGGATCAGAACTGTTATAATGGGGCTTAATTCAAAGCTGATAGGGAGCTTTATTGAGTGAGTCATGGTAATTTGTTCCTTAATTCCATTTCAGAGTCGGTGCCTCTTCACATTCAGGAATTAATTTTTTAAATCAAGTCTAAATCACTTCTATCAAAAGTCAAAAGCACAGAGCGCATGCAACAAAAAAACATCCCAGCCTCAAGAATCATATAATTCAGGGTGGGGGCAGTAATAGCATGCAAATTACTTACAAAAATGTGAGCTTTGCCTGCTAGGTTACCAGGAAAAAAGAAAAAAAAAAAAAACTGTTCAGAAGCAACTGTAATAAAACTTTTCGCAAACTCTGTGGTCCTTTGCCTTCCTTCAGCGCACAGGCGCTCCCGCAGGCCCCGGAACCCCAGCACGATGCCGGACTAGATTTAGGGTTCGTCTAGCCAACAAACCTATTTGTCAGGTTCCAAATACTAATTTTTTTCAAAACGTCCCAAGGTTTCTCGTGAAGGTATTACTGAAACTATGCTCTCAAAAGCAGCCACTTTGCCTTGATTCAACTGGTAACCGAGAAGGTTCTTACTGGGCCGAAGTGAATGTCCTTATTTGGCCGCTGTGACTGTGGAAGCTGACCCGTTGCCAGCACTTGCGCCACCCTAGGCGCCCGGGCATTAACCCGCAGAGGCCAGCCCGCCCAGAGGGCCGCAGCCAACAGGGCAGGATAGGGCCGTGACAGACCAGGCTGATGGCCGGTCAGAGACCCCCTGGGGCCTCCAGCAGCTACCAAACAGCGCTGAGTGGGAGGTCGGATGGCCTGGGAGCACAGTCATCCCCGGCCCTTTCTACCCAGGGGCTTGATTCCTTCTGAGTTTTTATGCACGTTTCTCAGGAACGTCAGGCTTTCTCCTGCGTGGCTCCCTCACACACACACACACACACACACACACACACACACGCCAAGGAGCTTCTGCCCTCTGGTGTACACGAAAGAAGCTACAGTGAGACCTGCCATCCCCAGGCCCATCTGCAGGCCACAGGGACCGACTACCCCAGCAGGACACTGAGGGCGAGGTAGGCAGCGGACGTGCAGTCCTGTCTAGTCCCACCTTCCCTTGCTACGCCTAGACGGACGTTATTCGTCCTTGAAACATTTTGCACGTCAATGAGAAAATGTTTGCTTCACCCAACTCCCTTTACTTTTATATTCAGGGGATGCCTGGGTGGCTCAGAGGTTGAGCATCTGCGTTTGGCTCAGGGCATGATCCTGGGGTCCTGGGATCGAGTCCCACCTCGGGATCCCCAGGGGGAGCCTGCTTCTCCCTCTGCCTGTGTCCCTGCCTCTCTCGCTCTCTCTCCCTGTGTCTGTCATGAATAATCTTAAAAAAAAAATAAAAAAACTATGCCAAATTCCTTGAAAAATGAGAATGTGTTTGCTGTTATGAACCTGTTTTTTTTTTTTATGAACCTGTTTTTGACATAATCTTCCAACTATCTGATCTATCTTAAACCATCGAACCTTTGAAGAAATAGGATACCCTCATTTTGAGCATTTACTGTGTTTTTCTCTCTCCATAACTTTACAAGCCTGTGAAGTATCATTTCCCCTTCAGGGACGAAGAAGATGGAGCCTAAGCAATCCTTACACCACAAATCTGAATAAAACCATTATTTTAAGCCAGTGAAGGGGATGAAAGTTTTTATGGCTTATGACCAATTGTCTCCAGTTCTGGAGAACCACTTAACAACAAAGCAAGATAACATACCTCATTTTATCTATTACATACCTGAAAGACCACATCAAGAAGAGTTCAGAGTCACAAGAAGAAAATAGGTATTCTCACCTGAATTGTTTAGTCTGGGGGCATTTTTAAGTATTTCTTAATTTTGGGGATCCCTGGGTGGCTCAGCGGTTGAGCATCTGCCTTCAGCCCAGGGCGTGATCCTGGAGTCCCGGGATCGAGTCCCAGGACAGGCTCCTTGCATGAAGTCTGCTTCCCCCTCTGCCTGTGTCTTTTCCTCTCTCTCTCTCTCTCTCTCTCTCTCTCTCTCTCTCATGAATAAATAAAATCTTAAAAAAAAAAGTATTTAATTTTTATTTCAATACTTTATCTGGATTCAACCCCCAGGAAATTCAGTCAATGCCATTAAAGACTTGAATCATGGAATGCTGGATGCTCCAAAATTAAAGCTTGAGCCTCAAAATAAAGAACTTAGTAGGCAGGGACCATTTAAAATTCCTTTAAACCAACAGGAATAACAAAGAATCAAGGAATAAGCTGGTCTATCATACACCGTTTTACTACTTTCAAGAACACTCAAACATTTTTATACACTGAATCCCCAGTAATCCTTGTTGAGCAATCACCCATAAATAAATTTCATGAAGATGTACCCATCTATAGAAAGGGAGGTGGGCGGGGGTGGGGGTGACTGGGTGATGGGCACTGAGGGGGGCACTTGATGGGATGAGCTCTGGGTGTTATTCTCTATGTTGGCAAATTGAACACCAATAAAAAATAAATTTATTAAAAAAATGTACCCATCTATAAATTTAATATGCAGATTAACTCATTTCTCTCTTCTTCCTCCTAAAACCCCAGTAAAAAGGCAGAATAGGAATAAAAATTACAATATTACAAGAATGAAAATTGAAGAAAACAATGCTGAACAAGATTTCAACAAATGTGCTGAATACGGAAGAGCTAGTGGTTGTTAATCTGCCTTAGCAGACCTCCAGAGGCCCATCACTGATGGGGGAGGTGCAGATCTTGGCAGGCTCTAGAATTTGAGGAAACAGGTAAGGAGCTAAATACAGGAAGGTAATTTCATGAAGATTGGAAAACTGTTCTAGAAATCTCCCAGAAAGAAAAATTAATGAATGAAAAGTAAGGCCAGAGGCTCAATCCAGCAGCTCTAGTAGGTCATGGGGTTCACACACAAAACGTGTGTGCATTCAGTTGGGTTTTTTTGCCGAAGGCAGTGAGGAGGACAGTGCAGGGTTAAGAACTTACAAATACTTTCCGGGTTGCCGGGGGCCACCAAAGTACAGTATCACACAATTTTAGAACACTAAAAGAGCCCCTAACAAAAAAACCAAATCAGGAATAAAAATTACACATCACAATGCTTTAATTAGAATAGAGCAATGCCTTCGAAATTCTTAATTTGATGATCTAGCTAAAATTTAAATACCAAGCCATGCTACCTTTCAGACATGTAGTACTCTTAGAAGTAACTGACCTCCCATGTACCCATCGCCGGAGTTATTGAAGGAAGTGTTCCACTTTAGCAAATAATCTAGGAACAGAGACAGAGGGTCCAGGAAACGCGGACTCCCAACACGAGAGGAAAACAAATCACAGGATGAAGTCTCAGGAAACAGCTGTATACATGAATGAGACCAATTAGTTTAGACTGAAACAACTAAGCATACGGTTGAGCTCTGACCAGTTGAAAATAATTTTAAGTTTTACATATTTGGGGCTGTTTTGGAAGCAGTGGTGATGTGTATGCAAAACCAAGACCAAATGTTGAGAATGGAAATGGAAGCACAGTAAACTAGTTCAGGAAGGAACATAGAAATTTGGTCACTATAATGCAATGATGCCAATTTAATGCAAAAATCCTGGAGAATGAGAAAAAAGTAAAAAGGCAGAAATCTTCATGTATCAAATGGGAAGCTGTCAGACATCTAAACACAGCAAATTAATAAACAGCATAAGACTATTACTTAGAAGTCTGAAGCCAAAGCACTAGCAGAAACCTCAAGTCTGAAATGTCCCCCGAGAAATGGAAAAGGACAGAGCAAGGAGTGTTTTCCCTTACAATCCTCGCAGCACCACTGAGCTATGTACATAGATCACTTTAATAACTCATTATTTAAAAGTATATACATACAAGCAACTGTAGATTTACGGGGCAAAAACACTCCTTGCAATCTCTTTTCCAAGGTTCTAAGCTACTTGGGAGTACAAGGAGGTGAAAGCACGCAGACTCAAGTTCTGGATTCCAAGGTGGTCTTCCCGGCACCGGAGCTGAGGGATGGGACGCAGACTTCCAGAGGCAAGAGCGACTCCACAGGCCACCGCGTGTGCAGAGAGGGGTCACATCAGATCTCCCAGGTGGTGTTGAGGAGGAGAAAGAGGAAGAACGCTAGTTTGGGAAGCACCTTCACTGACGTGGGTTCTTCTCTACAGTGTACATGCTTCACCCGCCCTCTTATTACTGTTTTCTACACTAATACCAAAGAAATCAGTAACTACAATCCCAGTGATATACTACACTACTATTCTACAGTACTACTCCCAGTGACATGGCTACATTTTTTCATTTATTCTTATGCATCCAAATATACAAAGCAAGTTTTGTCTCACTCCCTATCTAGATTGGTCACTGTGAACGCTACTTGAAACTCGTAACTGTTTCTATTAGAAAAGAAGCACTTCTTACGTGAAAAATCTTTATTTCAAAATACAAGAATATAGCAGATGAAATGTGTTAGTACCCTCAGAGGTCAAGGTTAGCAGCCTTTCTGGCATATGCTAATTCTTCATGAACTCCCAAGAGCTGGACTGAATGACCTTTAAGTGCAGCTGTAAGGTCTCGTGGTGTAATTCTGTTGATCCCAGTGACAAAATTAAATTAGGTTCCATTTAAAAATTAAAATATAGCAGCTTTTCCAGAAGAACTAGCTCCCAAAACTATATTCATAACTTGCCTAACATCTTAAGTTAAATGCCTCGTATATTTACACCATTATAATCAATATTTTTGGACAACCACAATCAAGAAATCTAACCTTGGGTAGTAGTTTTCCTCATTGTGAAATGCTGTATTTTTGTTTTCTCATAAATAGAAAAGGTCCAAACATTACACTTTATTTATGTTTAATGATTTACAGAGAATATTTAATAATCAGAACTCACTATTTGCAATATTGTACATTAAATTATAATATAACCCCTGCTACAAAAGCTATCTATGTTGACCCAAGATAAAAACTGTGTCTAGTTTAAATACATTAGAAATTAAAAAAAAATATATTAGAAAGTGGTCTTTAGGTGCTGAAAATCTAGAAGAATTCTCCAACATCTGCTCTCTTATCTCGACATTTGCTTCGAGCTTTTGTTCGAGCTTTGAAGGCTGCAGAGTTATACAGGTGCTGAAATGGAGGAAAGGAAAACACATGTGGATCACTAAAGCTTAAGGTATCCTGATAAAGAAAAGGATAAACAAAAATCACAGGAAAGAAATGAGCTAACTCAACTTTATCAATATTTTAAATGTTTATAAAACACATACGCAAAAAGAACAAGGGGGAAAACACATAATAGATGATAGCTATTCTGTATTAAGAAAAAATATTAATCAAATATGTAAAATACCAAGAAAATTCCAACAAAAAGTTAAAAAAAATGCATCAACATTTCATCTGATCAAAGCAAAAACAAATCATGAACCAAAGTGAACAAAATATCCAATTAATTAAAAGAATATGGAAAAAAGCAGTAAGCTTCCATCTCGATGCCAATTAAACTAACAAATTTTTTAAATCCTAAAACTCAATGCTGTCAAGAATGTGTGTAATTGCTATGTGCCTTTGTTCATTACTAGAAACAATTCAAAATGATAGAATAACTTTAGAAGGTAATTTGGCAGTACATATCAAATAGTAGTGATCCAGCCCTATATCCCCATGTGAAGAGAAAAAATTCAAAAGAGAAATAGTATGTAAAGATACTAATATTAAAATACCCAACAATTACATGGCCATAAAAATGATTAACTATAAAAAGTCTATAAATCTAATTAAGCACTTCAGGAGCACCCGGGTGGCACAGTCAGTGAAGCTCCTACTCTTGGTTTTGGCTCAGGTCATGATCTCAGGATTATGAGATCGAGCCTGGCATTGGGCTTCTTGCTCAGGGTGGAGTCCGCTTGGGATTCTCTGCCTCTGCCCTTCCCCCAACTCACACTCCTGAGTGCACTCTCTCAAACAAGCAAATTCTTTAAAAAAGTTTTATATATATATATAAAAATTATATATATACGTACATATATATACAAAAATGTTGCACTTCACACCCACTAATATGGCTGTAGTTTAAAACAAAAACAAAAAAGGCACAATACAAGTGTTGATAAGGACATAGAAATTGGAATACTCATATACTGCTGGTCGCAATGCAAAATCAGTCCCTATAGAAAACAGTTCCTTAAAAAGTTAAACACAGAACTACCATATGACCCCGCAACTCTGCTCCTAGGTATAGACCTAGAAGAACTGAGAAGAGCTGTTCTAACAAAAACTTGTACGCAAATGTTCATAGCAGCACTATTCACAATGGCCCAAAACTGGACACAAGCTAAATGTCCATCAATGGATGGATGACTGGATAATCATGTGGTGTCAGCCACACAATGGGGTTTCATTCAGCCACAAAAAGGACTGAAGTACTGGTGTGCGCTAGAACATGGATGACCCTTGGCAACCTTACGCGAAATGAAAAAAGCCAACAATAGGTCACACGATACAGGAGTCTATTCATAAGAAATATCCAAAATAGGTAAATGCAGAGACAGAAAGCACACTAGTGGCTGACAGCAGCTGGGGGGAAGTGGGAGAGAGAATGGGAAGTGAATGCTTAAAGGGTTTAGGTTTCCTTTCCCGGCGATGAAAATATTTTGAAACTAGACAGACAGTTGCAAAACATTGTTGAGTGTACTAAATGCTCTGAATTGTACACTTTAAAATAGTTCATGTTATATGAATTTCACCTCGGTAAAAACATAAAAATATAATTAAGAATTTTGAAATGTTAAGGGAAAATTTTGAGGAATGTCACAAATTCTCTGAGCACATGTTTCCTTAACTTGCAAAATGAATCTGGTACTTATTAAGTAGGTTTAGTTGTCAGATATAAAAGCACTATGGACTTATTCTTAAATATAAAAGGCTAACAGAACAAGAAAGGGAGAGAATTTCTACGTTAATGGGATTATGGATAAAATTATTCATTACCACCCCTCCATACTCTAGATGCAGTAAAGTTTCTACAATTTTCATACAGCTGTTCTGTGTCTGATACAGCATGAAGCACTGTAAGCCCAGACTCCACTAAATACCTATCACCCACCCCCCCCCCCACCCCCGACCTGGGACAATCAAAGCTTTGGGCTCTGCTTTTCTTCGATGCATTTAGTTTTGAGGAGAACAAAAACAAAACCTACCCTTTCAAAACGAGAGATCTTCATTGTTTTAAGTGTTGCAGCATCAAGCATCACGGGGGGTCCAAGCTCAAATACATTACGAAGGAATTCATTGGACTTCGGTAAAACAGAAAGGAAATAAGGCACATTATTAAATACCAGCTCTTTTTTTATTACACAGAGTGAAATCTGATTAACAGAAGTTATGTGGAGCTTATAAATAAGCACTCAGGTCACTTATTTTCTGTTTCTAAGACTAAATTGTTTCCAATGCCTCGAATCCGACAAAGTTATGAGGAAAGCAACAGTGCTCTACTAAATTTATAGATGATCCACCCGATTTATACAATACAAAAAGAACAGTTTCATATTTACTCAATTCTACTTTTAAAAAAATGTCTCTCATGAATAAATGAAATCTAAATAAATAAATAGATAGATAGATAGTAGTTCTGTATCCTGCTGAAAGTATTCTGCACAACCAACTTCAAAAGCCCATTAAGAGAACATTTAAAGCTGCTCTCTCATTTTTTTTGTATATTTTTTTATTGGAGTTCGATTTGCCAACATATAGCGTAACACCCCGTGCTTATCCCGTCAAGCGCTCCCTAATTTAAAAGCAAACACACAGAGAAGTCACTCACTCACCTGCAAATGATACTGCATCCCTGATCCAAGAACTTCCTTAAAGGTGTCATAGGTGTGTTTTTTGACCCAGCAATCAATATACATTCGTTCAGGACCAAATTTAACAGTTTCTGTTGGAAAATCCCGTTCCTAGCCAACAAAAGAACCAAAATTTTAAGAGAAATTAAGATGGCTTGAAGAGATACATAAATATAATTTCTAAATAGACACATTTACATGCTGAGGTAAGAAAAGATGATTTAAACCTGATACCTACCTCCATCCCTGAGATGTGAATAGACTAGAAAGTACTATCCTAATATAAGGGTGTAAAACTTGCCAAGTTGTCATAGACTTGGCACAACTGAGTTCAGATAAATAATACTGGCAAAACCACATTGTTGTGAATGTCTTTAAATTTCAAGAGCACTTGATAAACTTGAAGAAAAAAAAATCAGATATCTGTACTGATCTGCCAATGGGGGGTGAGATGGGGAGGGAGGAGGAGGAGGTTGCAAGGCAAGTCAGAAGACAAGATGCCCCCACATGCCAGCGATGGTACTGAGGGGAAGCAGGGATCAAGAGAAGACAAATGGGGTTAAGACACCAACCAAAAAATAAAGGACCACCAACTAGACGACTCCAAGGGTCTAAGAGCAGGCTTACTAAGAAAATGAGAGGGGGCATCCCTGGGTGGCTCAGTCGGTTAAGCGTCTGCCTCAGCTCAGGTCATGATCCTGGAGTCCTGGGATCAAGCCCCGCATCCGGCTGGGAAGTCTGCTTCTCCCTCTCCCTCTCACATCCTGCTTGTGCTCATTCGTGCTTTCACTCTCTAACAATAAGGAGGGAAGGTGGGAGGAAAGGAGAGGGAACAACTGAGTTTAAGACTTTAGAGATGGAACAATTTTGCCAGAAGATAATTTCTGAGAGGGAATCAAGTGAACAGAAATAGAGAAAATGTAAAGATCATTGTACCAAATACAGAATAGGGTTTTTCAAAACACAGAGGAGTCACCCAGAATAGGGGCAGAACCTGGGATGAAAAGACCTGGCCGCTCCATTGTTTGATGAATGAGGACTATGGAAGAGAAAGCAGGTAGCGAACAGTGGATCACCACAGGGACGGGAGAAAGGAGATGGAACCTGAGCACGCCAACTGCTTTCCCCACATCTACCTAGCTCCTTTCTTTGTCAGCAGACACGGCATGTAATATGGGAGAAAAGAACGTGAACTCTAGACTTAACAACTTGCCGGCTTGTCAATTTGGTAAGTAATTTAACTGCTTTGGGTCTATTCCCATGCTTGTCAGGTGGGGCTTTCCCTGCCTGTACCACAGTTGTTAGATGTGTGAGATAAACCTGTGAGCCTCATACAGTGCCTGGTCTGTCACAACAGTTCAAAGAAACCCACAAGGGTTCTACTATTTCAGCCGTCCGTATTTCAGAAAATACTAACACACCAGGAAAGAACTCCCTCCTAACTCATCCGCACCCTTACCTACTCCTCTCCTAAATCTCTCCAGTTCAAGGCAAATCATACTGTTTACATCACACTCTCAATCTTTTGTTTAAATTTTCAAATGCTCCCTCTCCATGGGTTCCTTCTCCCATAAACTGATCCAGCATCTTCAACAAGACACAATAACAAACCCTCCCCCCAATCCACTGATCAACTCTCTTCCTGTTTCAATTACAATCCATTTTTCAAAAGACCATCTCCAGGGCAGCCGGGGTGGCTCAGCGGTTTAGCGCCACCTTCAGCCTGGGGTGTGATCCTAGAGACCCGGGATTGAATCCCACGTCGGGCTCCCTTCATGGAGCCTGCTTCTCCCTCTGCCTGCCTGCCTCTCTCTCTCTCTCCTCTCTCTCAATAATAAATAAATAAAATCTTTAAAAAAAAAAAAAAGACCATCTCCCATTTCTTCACTTCCATTCACTCTTCAATTCCCTTCAATCATGCTTTTCTGCCATCACTCTGCTGAAGCTGCACTTATAAAGGTCATTACCAATGACCTACCTGACAAAGCCCACTGACACTTTGATTCTTTGTCCCTTGCCCGATCAGCAGCACTTGACCCAGCTGAAAGACAGCACGGTAGGTTCAAATTCCAGCTATGCTACTTATTGATCTTTATGCCTTTAGTCTGTTTTTCCTTAAAAAGATAATTCTGTTGCTTAAGTGTTATAATGGAAATGAAATAAGAAAACTGAATGTCAAGGGACCTAACATATTGCTTGCTGATTTAAGAAATACATGAGCTTAAAGAAAGATTTCTGGAGGCAAAGAAATGATAAAAGCACTAATAACTACACCTAAAAGGGAAAATTCTCCTCTAAGCAAAGAAACAAGAACACTCAGCAAGGCTGTGAGGACAGACCTTTCACTGGCAGGTGCACTGAGGCAGAGCACAGGGAAGCCAGTCAAATGGAAGGGGAGAAGCAGAAATCCTGAGATGGAGAGGAGAGGGCGCATAAGGCCTGGGAGGGAGAGCACCACAGGTCAGAATCACGAGGCCAAGAAAACGCTTTCACTGAGTGGTGCTGGGCAAGAGCGACAGGCACACAGAGACCTGTTAGAGCTGGTGGACACGGAGATCTGGCTTGTGTCTTTCTAAGAAGAATCAGTGCCGTGTGCTGTGGGTGGCTTAGGCTGAGGGGTTTGTCACAGGATCAGCTCACATCCTGTTTTGACTCTTAAAAAAAATCTATTATCCAGAGAGGATGCATCCAGACAGAAAATGTGACGTCAGGTCTAATCCAGAAAACCCACAACACACCATTATCTTCTCTTTAGAGGCAACATCCCAAGAGAGGCGTAGTTTGTAATTATTCAAAAAAACAGCTTAATTTGGGGATACAGCCACACTAAAATTTTAAAACCAAAGGGATCAACTGTTAATATAGATGTCTGCTCAAGTTTGGGGATTTTGTTTTGTTTTTTACATTATAAAAACCAGAGTAAATATACAATATTACTGTAATGAAATGAGAGTTAGCATTAACCAAAATGTTTAGATCCCAGAAGATCTTTAAACTATTTTATACCCCAGGCTTTAGAAGAAAGTAGTTCTTAAGCAGGCTATGTATGAGAATCACTGCAACATTTCAAAACTGCACCTGAATGAAGCCTTAGCATCTTTATTTTAAATTCCCATTCTAAATTTTCATATACATGTCAAGTTAATGACTCTTTGGTGACATTCTTAAATGAACTGCTCTATCAGATATAGCAAGAACCCCAGATATTTATTCTTTATATCCAAGAAATATTTCTTACCTGGCCAACAAAACAAACAAAAAATTCGATATTCTCCACAGTAAAACTGCCCTTATCCTACAGTTCCTTTTAACCATGCATTCTGTTTAAATCCCTGAAGGTTTCTAAATCAAGTTCTTTGCCAGGCAGATAGAAACAGGTTAGAACACTGTACAAGGTTCTCAAGCAGCAGATGATTTTAAACCCTTATTTAAACACTGGGTTTGGGATCCCTGGGTGGCTCAGTGATTAAGCATCTGCTTTTGGCTCAGGTAGTGATCCTGAGGTCCTGGGATTGAGTCCCACATCGGGCTTCCTGCAAGAAGCCTGCTTCTTCCTCTGCCTATGTCTCTACCTCTCTCTCTGTGTCTCTCATGAATAAATAAAATCTAAAAAAATATATATATAAAAAAAATAACGCTTTGTTATTTCAGTTTTTAGCACCTAGGCTTCCTAGGGAGAATACAAAGGTCTTTCCTTAAAAGTACTGAGGGGTAGGCAATAATTTACTATCCATAAAAAGCACTGTACTTAGTATGTACGTGCTAAGTACCACAGCTTAAATGATGGCAAGTACAACCACCTGAAATACACTTTTGTAAACTATGAATCTTATTTTTTAGCATAAAAAAAAAAGTACCTTTATGTGTCAGAATTAAATTTTCCTTAGTTTTTTTTTTTTTTTTTTTTAAGTTTCCTTAGTTTAAAAAAAAAAAAAGTTGTTGGGACACCTGCGTGGCTCAGCACTGAGCGTCTGCCTTTGGCTTGGGGCATGATCCTGGGATCCAGGATCGAGTCCCATATCGGGCTCCCTGCATGGAGCCTGCTTCTCCCTCTGCCTGTGTCTCTGCCTCTCTCTGAGTCTCTCGTGAATAAATAAATAAAATCTTTAAAAAAAAAAAAAAGCTGTCTTTATGTCTGTGTTAAAAACCTACTCCAGGTTTAAAATGAGAAAATTATTTTGATGAAAGGTAAAATTAAAAAAAAAGAAAATGACCCAATTGTCCAGGTTAGCCTAAAACAATCTCATTTCAAAATGAGTAGCAGGCGCCTAGCTGGCTCAGTTGGTGGAGCATACTGACTCTTGATCTCAAGGTCATGATGAGTACAAGCCTCACAGTGGGCATGGAGTCTACTTAAAAAAAAAAAAAAAAAAAAAAGGAGTAGCCATTAGAGAGAGCATTAAGAGACCTACCTCCACTGCCCTCAGGATGTCTCTGAACACTGACCGCTGCTTTCTCTTGTCCACTTTGGCACGGTGCTTGTTTCCATCTGTAGCCAAAGCCCTAAGCATCTGAGTCAAAGATTCCATGTCTTCATAAAAAAAGTCCTGGTCAGGAAAAACAATTTTGTTTAGTTCGTTATTTGGGTTCTTTTCCACCCCCAACCTTTCCTAGCTAACAAAGAATACCTAGCAGGGGTAAAAGCATCACATTATCTCTGAGCTCTTTAGAGATCTTGGCACACAGGCACACGTTAACGCATTTATAATATCATGCAAAAATTTTAATCCAGAAATGCTGACTACAAGATGATATACTCCCACTAAACAATTAACATTCCCCTCCCAAGTATATCCAGATACATTCAACAAATGCTTATTGTGCTCCTACCATATCCAAGACATTTCTGAGATTTCAAAGTTCAGTGAAGATACCACAAATACCATAACAACTTCTATTCTTTGGCACTCTTCAGTCCCCAAAGCACACATCCCCAGAATTCCAAATATTCTTACTCTAAAAGTACGAGCTATCAGTAATGCTAAAGCACCCTCATTTCTAAAAAATCTTTAAATCAAGTGCACAACTCAAGTAATTAAATTACTCAAGCTAAGAGAAAATATTTTAATCCCCTTTGAAGAGAAGCCACGAAATATATTACTATTTGCTACTGCCTTGGTTTGACTCCCCTCCAACAAAAAATTATCCAGCCCAATAATATATCAACATGCACAGTTGAAAAATCCCACTGTAAATGACCCCTGCAATCAGTAAAACTCAATCTAGTTTTACAGTCTGAATCACTGAGTTCAATAGCACTAACTTGGAAAAATAAATGTTAAGTACTGTAGGGAAATTTCTCCATAACCTTTTTGGGCCTTAAAAAGAAAATGTAAAACATAAAAAATAGTCCATAAAATAGCATCCAAAAGCCAATTTATTGGAGTTTAGGATAACTCTACAGTAAAACTATTCACCCAGGGACAAATGAAAACCAGGCTCTCGGAGACACACACCTTAACTCTTAGCAATAATAAAAAGAAAACAGCGTAATCATGAACACACAAGGGGGTGTGTGGGTCGGCCTCCTTCCTGCAGCACCTCCCCTGTCGCAGGTTAGGTGGGGGATAAAAAAGGAATTGGGGAAGGTCTGTCTATATTATATTTTGGTATATTTTCCTGAGTCAGTATGTTATGTGGCTGCCCGGTAAATAGGCTGTTAACTCTGCCCGGTAAATAGTCTATCTTATTACAGATTATCCTAGAGAGCTCCTAAAAGGCCACTACTAAAAGATGACTGCCAAAGAGGGGGACATAATCCTCACTTTAATGTGTTACAATAATAGCTACCGCTTACACTGTATCTATCCTACGTTCTCAACAACCCCATGAGGTAGTTACTATTTTATTCTCCATTTTAAATATACTGATACTGAGGCATAGAGAAGTTGCTCAACATCATCCAACTAGTAAGGGTGGAAAAAGAGATTTGAACTCGGGAGAGTGACGCAGAGTACACTCTTACCAGTTTGGTTACAGAACAAACATGCATAATGAACTAGAGAGCTCTCACAAACAACTCCTAATTCCTCATGTCCATTTAAAACTATGTTAGCAAAAGGCTCTGAATATTTCAATGCTATGAATTTGCTACCAAAACCCTAATTTAAATGAGCCTATATATACATGAACACTTGGTTTAATTAATTTTTTGAACACCCTATAACTACTCCCACCACCACCACCACACACTGGCTCCTTTGAAAAAGCTTAACGAAAATAGCAAACAAAACACTAGGTTCTGTTTTGTAATCCATTCATTTTTGTCCTTAGACAAGGACTTACCCAAACATGTTTAATTTGATCAGAGTTCTCCTAGCTATCTTATATGATTTATTAAACCCAGAGAATATACAATATGTAGGCAATAATAAATGTGTGTTTATGAAATTTTTTAAAAATTCAACATGTATCATTTAAACTGCATTATCACTTTTAAGATACACTTCAAAGGAAAAAGAGAAGAAATTACCATTTCTAGCCAGTAGAAAAACAGAAGATTAAAAAATTGGGACATCTGGCTTCTATGCCTTGAGGTTAAGGAGCCATTAACTAGCTCAATAAAATTAGATTGATTGCTAAACTTTAGTCCAATTTCTCAAATAAGCAGACTCATTTGCTACTGAAAGCATTAATAACTTCTTTCCATTCCTACCTGCTATCCTTCAAAGAAAAGGGGATAGGCTGGGGGAAGCCTAAAAAAGACGTTTCTCAGATATTTCTAAACATAGGACTTGAATGGAATTATTAACTGTTAAATGACATCTTTAACTCCAGAGAAGGTTTCGTTCCAGAAATATAGTCTCTGTTCCTACACTAAAAAGTAGCTAATAAGTAACCCAAGGTTCAAAACAGGGGACGTGAAATGGGGTGACCAAATGTCCCCTGTTAGCCTAAGATGAAAGGTTTCCTGGAACACAGAACTCAGTGCTAACCCTGGAACAGAGCCAGGCAAACTGGTAAAGCTGATCACCCATTACAAACTCAAATACCTTTGAGAGCCAAATGGATGTAACAAACATCCATGGACAGATAGTGGGGGGGACTGCAAAGCACACATCCTAGTCCAAAGGGCCATGTTTGCTCCTAGCTTTGGCTCAGAGAAGTTAAACAACAGTGACTAAACTCGTCGGATCTCAGACTCATGTCAGTTTAGTATCTCATCCATTTGTTTGACATTTATTATAAAGCATCCATGCCTCAATCACCTGAATGTGCCCTGTGTCTGAGAAATCCCAGCAGATCCATACAGACTGCAGTAAACAACTCTCTCCACGAGTAACAGTGTCCCTAAACTTGAGTTCTCTAGATAGCAAGAGTTAAGTGTAATTAACTAACTATAATCAAACGTTGCTCTACCAACCCCTACCGGTACATGCTCTTAAAATTATTGTATCAGGGACGCCAGCGTGGCTCAACAGTTTAGCGGCTGCCTTCGGCCCAGGGCATGATTCTGGGGTCCTAGGATCAAGTCCCACAAGGCACTCCCTGTATGGATGGAGTCTGCTTCTCCCTCTGCCTATGTCTCTGACCCCCCCCCCCCCGTGTGTCTCTCCTGAATAAATAAATAAAATCTTTAAAAAAAAAATTATTATATCACCACTGCCAAGAGGCAGGGCAATCACTTGATTCTCAAGGTGGCCATACTCCAAGGTTATCATCAAATTCTTAATTATGAAGATAAAGATAGAATAATGGTCCCTGCGACACAATCTTTTCCTCTATGCATCAGATACTTACACTCTCCATCCCTCTGGCCAATTCAAACATAAGTGCCAAAGATTCACCAGCAGCTATTCTCATGTTGACATCATCAGAAGAGAGGAGGCTTGGAAGTTTATGGAAATGCCTAAAAAAACAGTCATTACTGTGTGAACACAACGAATTATGCCAATAAATTTTGTTTTTATAAAATATGAAACTAAGAGTACATACATCTCGAGCTTTTTCTTCACTTCATTGATTGGGCATATGGTCAATAATAATGTCCACGCAAGAAGCGAGCTGATATGAAGCCCTGTATTAGGGGTGTTGCAAATAACATTAGTGTCTTTCTCTTTTAGATAGGACTTGGTGAAGACATTTTCCAAACATTCCAATGTTGAATACAGCTCCTAATGTAAAAGAACATGAAATAAAAAAATAAAAATAAAGAACATGAAATAAGGTAACCACCTTAAATTTGAAATGTGCAAATATGTAGAGTCAAGGGTTTTCTACTTACAGTAATGTCTTCTGTGGCAATAAAACAGCAAACACCAAAGCAAGTTGCACACTAAAAAAAAAAAAAGTAAATATAGACATTAATATTTGTAATTTTCTTATTTCTGCATCTTCTTGCTTTTAGAATTCAATGTGCAAGTTTTCTCAACTACATGACTACACTGGTCCCAAATATAGAATGAAAAGAGAAAGGGGTGCCTGGATGGCTCAGTCAATTAAGCATCTGCCTTCAGCTCAGGTCATGGTCCCAGGGTCCTGGGATGAAGTCCCGTGTTGGACTTCCTGCTCGGAAGAGTCTGCTTCTGCCTCTCCCTCTGCACACCACGCCCACTCATGCTCTCTCTCGCTCTCAAATAAATAAATAAAATCTTTTTAAAAAATGAATAAAAAGAGAGAAAGAACATAGGATCAAGAGTTAGGGGAAATGGGGCAGCCCGGGTGGCTGAGCGGTTTAGTGCCACCTTCAGCTCAGGGCGTGATCCTGGAGACCTGGGATCGAGTCCCACATCAGGCTCCCTGCATGAAGCCTGCTTCTCCCTCTGCCTGTGTCTCTGCCCCTCTCTCTCTGTGTCTCTCATGAATAAATAAAATCTTAAAAAAAAAAAAAAAGTTAGGGGAAATGGGTTTCACCCAAACTCTGCTACCAAACTGAGAGTATGACCTTAGGAAAGTTATTCAGTTTCTCCTAGGTCTTCCTTCATTAACCCAACAGACCCTTTTCAAACTTCCAACTCCAATTTAAAGACAGAGATGAAGTTTGCACACTGGAGATAGAGAAGCCTACTCTATTAAAAACCTTAAAAACACAGTGTTTGTTATAGATTTTTAAGCACTGAAAACCATTTACATTCATCTGTTTTTACATAGACCCTATTATGAAAACTTCTAAAAAAAATAATTTTCCAAGAAATAAGCACACCAGGAGAAGAAATCTCCTAAAATTTAAATAATTGTCCTTGGGGCACCTGGGTGGCTCAGTTAAGCATCTGCCTGCGGCTCAGGTCATGATCCCAGGGTTCTGGGGTCAAAGCCCCACCTTGTGCTCTCTGCTCAGCGGGGAGTCTGTTTCTTTCTCCCACTCTGCTTTCCCTCTGGCTTGTAGTCTCTGGTTCTCTGTGTTAAATAAAATCTTAATGATAAACAAATAAAGGTCCTCAAACTTGCCACCTAAACAGGGATCTCATTAATTCAGATTTCACTTTTTTCCGAATATGCTGAAAAATGGTCAGGAATCTTATAATTGCCTTTTGTTAGGGGAAAGAGGGGGCTCAACAAGTGATTACACTAGAGGACTACCATACCATACAAGGTATGAGTTACCAAATAAAATGGAGCTCAGAATACAAAATTTTTAAAAAAAAGCAAAATTTATATACAATCTGCCTGCAACATAAAAAAGCATTAATTAATTAATGCATTAATTTTCAGAACACCGCTCTCAACAAATAAATCATACGAAAACAATTTAAAATTTGTGAGTTTTTATTCTCCATTCCGTCTTAACTTTAAATTTTCTCGTGCTGTTCTGAGTGCCACTAAGGCATTAAGTCTTTAAAGTCACCATTCACATGCCCAAGTGCCTGGTATCATGAGGACATTTGTGACACTAATCTGCTTGGGATCACAATTTTATTTTCTTATTACATCCTGGTAAAAACTAAACATAGCGGGGATCCCTGGGTGGCTCGGCGGTTTGGCGCCTGCCTTTGGCCCAGGGCGCGATCCTGGAGTCCCGGGATCGAGTTCCGCGTCGGGCTCCCTGCATGGAGCCTGCTTCTCCCTCTACCAGTGTCTCTGCCCCTCTCTCTCTCTCTATCATGATTAAATAAATAAATAAATCTTAAAAAAAAAACTAAACATAGCTAAAATTAAAAAGTAGTCTAGGTATTATTCTCAGTAAAGGCAACTTTCAAAACTTTCAATCTGTAAACCCTTGTTCTATGCAAGCAGCAGAGGCAAAACCACATCTCTTCTTTTGATGCCTCTAAGAGAAAAAAAAGGTGGCTTAACAATTAGAACTGCCTATATTTCTTCTGCTAATGAGGACTGTCAAGTATTTTTTTTTAATTCACAGCAAGCATCAAATGTATTTTAAAAAAGAAAAAAAGACAACAAACGTACATGCAACAAAAATTAACGGCTCACTACAAATATCTACCCAAAGTGTTTTCTGTCAAGCATTTTAAAATACCTCTACCGTCCCGCATAATTCAAAAGTTGCATGAAAATCCAAAAAGAGGGGATAAAAATGTAAAGAGCAAAAGTTTAATTAGCTATTTGGGGATTACTAACTGCTGGAGGGCAGAGATTCCTATGAAGTTACCAAAATTCTATTTCTTTGCCTATGGTGAAACAGGTTAACTATCCCCAGCCTCTATACGGTCGGTAAACCAAGCAACGGGCCACTAAGTGATGTGTTCTGGCCTGAGCATCTATCTGCCTTCTTCCTTTCCCCACCGAGCCATTAGCCATCCTAGCTGCCATACAGAGGACCTAAAGGTAGGGCCGAGAATGGCCGCCCACAGACTCTGCCCACTTACACAGTGAATATGAGCAAGAAAGAAACTTATTAAGCCCACTAAGGTTTCAGGGTTTATCAGACACAAAGATCAACACCATTTACTTTAAGTAATACTAAAGAGAAGGCTAATGTGAAAAGTCAGTATTAAAAAAGTTTTAAACCTGAACTGGTTTCTTCTTAGGAAAACAGCTTAAGATTCAAATCTACTAAGATTAAATTCTTAAGATAAAGATTCTTAAGATCCATTAAGATCCAAATCCACATTCTAAACCCAGAAGGATGTTTGTAACAATCACAAAAGCACACCAAAAACAAACCCCACAATCTAAAGTTATGGGTGATAAATATCAAATTAGAGAATGAAAGGTTTTTCAAATCCCATGACATGACTAGATGAGTATCTCACAAGTTACAGATTCCTACATCTAATACCCAAATCCACCCATGGAAATAAAGCATTCAGCTTTTTCATAAGGACTTGTAGGCCACAGCAGCCAATTTTTTTTTTAAATACCTATTACATTTCTTAGAATAAAAAATAACCACCCAATAAACACTGTCTAGATCATTTAAGTTCCTATCAAAATTATTCTTCAATCATCCTAAATAACTCAAGATAGTATTTCCTATCAGAGTATGCCCTTTGATTGCAAAGACGTAGAAATCTGCTCTATCTGGGATGATCTGTGGCATCTCAAAAAATTTAAGGAAACAACTGTCATATTAAGTCTGCTCACTCTGGGATCCCTGGGTGGCTCAGCGGTTTAGCCCCTGCCTTCGGCTCAGGGCGTGATCCTGGAGTCCTGGGATCGAGTCCCACATCAGGCTCCCTGCATGGAGCCTGCTTCTCCCTCTTGCCTGTGTCTTTGCCTCTCTCTCTCTCTCTGTATCTCTCATGAATAAATAAATAAAATCTTTAAAAAAAAAATCTATTTTAAAAAATGTAACTTTCCTAGATCATCCATTAGAGTATCTGGGTGTCATTCATTAGAGTATCTGGGTTTCTAGGTTTAGAAATTAAAAAAATAATATACTTACAGTTTGCCTAGCCTGGATACTAGCTGTTCCATCACAAATTATTTTCTTTAGGATTGGTCCAAGAGTTTTTAAAACCTCTTCACTTTCAATTCCAGGGCCCAACTGAATACAAAGAACAGATGCTAATGCTGCAGCTGCACGCTGCTCATCACTCTTACCTATAAGAAAGCAAAGGTGCAACCATGAAAAATTATTTTGAGAAGACTTACTAAAAGAGCAATTTCCCTAATTTGTACAATTCCAAACTATCATCTACCATTTATAAAATCCCATAATATGTTCTAAACTTTGACATGAGCTGCAAATATAGTGAGCTCAAACTCTGGAAACAGACCTGACTCAAATCCTAGATCCACCACTTATTAGCCAAATGACTTACAATTCTTATTCTCAAAACATATTTCTTCAGCAGTGAAATGAAGATTAACACTGCTCTTTAGGGAGTAGTGTAACAAATCAGCAAAATAACGTGTTCCAAGCTGCCTTGACCTTCCAAATCTTTCATGTACTCACAGAACAGTGCTCAGGTAGTCGCTGAATTAACTGCTCAAGCATTTCAGATGTATGCAGCCTATGAAGTAAACTAAGCCTTCAGGGCTTCCCCTCCTCCAATTTTTTTTTTTTAAATAAACAAACAAGGAATTAAAAATAAATGATTCTTGGAGCACCTGGGTGGCTCTGACAGTTAAGCATCCAACCCTTATTTTGGCTCAGTCATGACCTCAGGGTTATGAGATCCAGCCCTGGGTTCCTCTCTCCCCTCTCACTTGCATGTGTATGCTTTCTCTCACAAATAAATAATTAGAAGCTTTTAAAAATAACAATAAAGTTAAAATAAAGGATTAAGACCATACAGAAATTGCAGACACCAAATGAATACCTGACAAATTAAAAATTTATAAAATAAACAGATCGGAATATAGTTTTTAAAGGTCATCTAATCCAGCTACCATTATAGGAAATAGTTCCAATGTAAACAACTCTATCAAAGCCTTTGTACTATCTCAAAAAAGTTGGCTCTGCTATCAACTATACCACAAGAAGTTATATAACCTTAGACCAATCTCCCGTTTCCTAGGCCTTTATTCTGTACAATGAGAGAGATGGAATAGATGTAAGGTTTCCAAATACCCATTCATGACAAAGCTTTCAGCTGAAGTAAAATAAGAAAAACAAGGACATAACCTAGTAAGCTCATTCAATTTAAAAGAGCACGTGTGCTTCCCACATTTCTGGTGCTAGAAATATTTTGTTAATAAAGACCTAATGACAGAAGGTCATTATTCTCACAATATTCTTACTTGGCAAAATAATTATGCTGGCATGGCATCTCTAGGTCTTTTTAATTTTGGTGGTTCCTAAAGCTGAATGAAGTCCAGTAATACCAGACTTAACCTTTCAGGTCTCTCTTCATTCTTAAAAGTTCTATGATCACAACAATATGAATTCTAGAATTTCTATCACAGAATTCTAGAATTCAAATAGTCTAAGGGATATCCTGAAAAATGATGTCATTCACAGGTATAATTGATGTTTTCAGTAACCGCAAGGGAAAATAAGCTATGTGATTATAATACTTTTTAAATTTCAGGAGAATGAAGTAGAATGGCTTTTTTAATAATAAGTTTTGTGAAAATCTGACACAGGTTTTCAAGACTTTCTTATATATGAGAATGGTGATCATCTCTTCCAATACAAAAAAGGATGGCAATCCACCACAATTCAAGTTTCAAGCTGTTTATTACATAAACAAAAACAACACTTCTCACAAGTCTCATTTTTAATTTGAATTAGCATGGCATATTCCTTGACAACTCTAAAGTTGAAAGAGTGAGCCAGTCTTCCATTTCCCTTAATAAGCATTACTGCAAAGCAGGTGGCAAATCCCTTTTTAGTTTGGTGCCTCTGACTCAAAAAGAAGGTTACCTTTCTTCAGGCAGCGCTCAATGCTGTCTGTCAAAGTCATTCTTCGTTCCAGAATCAATTCAGAAAGCATTTTCGAAGCGAGTGCATTTTTAATGCCTTCAAGAGCTGCCTGCCTGGTCTTCGCACTATTTAAAACAAAACAGAAGATCCATTTGGAGTGTACCATAAGACAATGACTTGTAAAAACTTCACTATTTCCCTCAATTTCTCTTCATAGATTTGTAGATTTTTTTCCCTCTATTGCTGTCATCAAAAGCTCTAACCATTTTTCTTTAATTTTTATCCATAATTCATCTTATTAAACAAAAGACATAAAAGACATGTTCTATATGACATATTTAAGTAAGCTCACTTTTTTTGATGCTTCAAAAGTCTAGAGTTCATATGTGAATCTTCGGGGCTTTTTAATTATTATAAGTCAGCTCTAGAACTACTATGAAATATGAAAATTTACTTTGCTCTTTTTTCTGTATGCTACAAAATGAACAGAAAAGAGGCTTAAAGCAAAGTTTACCTGTTCTAGCTGAAGAAGAACTTTGAATCCAACAAATCTATTTCAGTTGTAATCATATATAGTTTAATGCATTTATGCTAGAATAATGACTAACTTGAGTTGATCTAATTTCTAGTGGCATGTTCCTATCCACATTAAAAGTCCAAAGAAATAAGAAACATTAAAACATCCAAAGCAAATAAATCAAGCTTAGAAAAACATTGTTAAATCAGAAAACTGCACATGATATACATATTGGCTGATCAGAATCACACAGAATGAACAGAATTTCCAGTATCTCCTACCTCTTATCCAGGGTCAAGTCAATGAATCCCTTCAATTTATACTCTAAGTCTTCTTGAGTTCCTTCCTCATCAAGGACTTCTGGTCCTAAGGAATAATATAAACTAACCATTATAATTTAAGTAGAAAACAAGCAGGGAACAGTGATAGTGTGCCTTAACTCTAAAAATTCTTCTACCCAAAACATCCTTTTATCTAAAGTTGTCAATTTAAATTTAAAACTCATACCATCTTCAGCAAAACTGGAAGGATCGCTGTAACCACTGCAATGGCTCATTGTCTCAATCGATGCATCCTCATCACTAAAAGGTTGAACGTTTCGATGTTGGCCACCTATTAGGTAAAAGAAAGTGGAAGTAAATAACTGTATTGCCATATGCTCAAATATTTAACTTGAGAATTTTTAAATTTACTTAGCAGAAACCCAGTACTAAAAACCCAACCTTATTTAAGAAAAGAGATGATTATGCTACAAAAAAACATAAATATTCTTAAATAAGTCAATTCACCTGTTTTTCAGACCATCAACTGTTTACAATATACATCAACTTCAGAAATGTATCAAAAACTGGTATTATGGTTGAAAAAAGTATCTCCAAAACATGACTTCAAATCATGAAAACTACAAAAATAGATCCAGAAAGAGTGTGAAATTAGAGAATAAGAAAAGTTTTTTTTTTTTTGAAAAGTTTATTTTTCAAGGAGAATGAGCTTAGCAAACACAAACATGGCAAATGGGTTAATTTTTAAGTTACACACCATGTATGAAGAACTAAGACATTAAGAGACAGTAGTTTTAAAGATAACTTGAATTAAGAGAGGAAAAAAAGGAGGGGCAATGGGTGGCCCAGTTGATTAAGCATCTAACTCTTCATTTCAGCTCAGAACGTGCTCTGGGATCAAGCCCCATGTAGGGCTCTGGACTCAGCGCACAGTCTGCTGCTTGAGATTCTCTCTCTCTCTCTCTGCCCCTCCCCCTGCTCGCTTGCACGTGTGTAGGCTCACTCTCAAATAAATAAATATTTTTTAAAAAGGGGGGGAGGAGTAAAATAGAAATTTTGGTTTTTAATATAGTTGAAAAGCCTGTTAGATAATTCATCTTTAAAAGAAAGGTTAACAAATCCAACAGTTTAAAAACATCAGGGCTGTTACTAAAAAATAAAATATTAAAAAAAAAATATTTATCTCTATACCCAACTTGGAGCTTGAACTCACAACGCTAAGACCAAGAATCGTATGCTCCACTGACTGAACCACTCAAGTGCCCCAAAATAAAATTTTTTAAAACTAGAATCTTTCCTTAAATTAATTAAAAATAAATAAATAAATCCATAGTAGTGTTTTGTTTTCTGGGGATTTAATATTAACAGAAGTAATGCTCATTACATTGAGCATGGAGTTAAAGTAAGTTCCAAATTCTGCCCCCGAAGTGACTTTGGGTCACCTGATTCACCTCTGAGCCCAATTTTCCTTATCAGTCACGTCAAAGATTGCATCAAATATCACTAGGTGCCTATATTCAAAAAATTCATGGCACTTAATTACCTTTAAAAAAGTTTTTTTTTGTTTTTTTTTTTTTAATCCTCTAGGTTTAAGCTTGCTAAGTTTAGGGGGTTTTGGAGTTTTTTTAAAAATCAAGAGAGAGAATTTGGCTGATTTTTAAATCAACAGAAGGTGCCAAGCAGCCTTCAAATTTGTTTGGTATCCCAAAGCAGTAACTTTGCCAATCAAGGTAGGAAAGCATAAAGAAGCCAGGATACCATAATGTATTAATCAGAGTGCTTAGGGCAGGAATAAACAACCCAAGACCTATGATATCATACTCTATTTCTGGGTCTATCTTCATTGTCTTCATGATTTGAAGTCATGGGGATAGTTCAGAGTCATCTGTTTACTACTACTAATACCTAGTCACAAGTCAACTCATTTTTTTTTCATATTCAGTCTACCTCTAAACTGCCAAGAATATTCCTATACTGAGCTCCTACTCAGCTCCTTTCTCTCCGTTTCAGTTTCCAAGACTCCAGAGAAAGAGAAGTTAAAGAAACAGCCAAAAAATCAAGAAAACCCTGTATGAATGCCTGATACCTAGATCAAAGTCACCCACCTTGCCATCTCAAGTAATATTAATTAGGTGGCACTCTAGACACCTGAAGTCCTAATTTCTTAGGTTTACTTAACAAGGTTTGGTTCTTTCATAAAAGATGCTTTCTTTAAATTAAGTGCAATAGAAAGTATGCATACTTGTCAATTTTATCAGCTTTCTAGAACCTTTCACTAACTTAAAAGAGAATTAAATGGAAAATCAACTAAAGTGAAAGGAAAGTTGGCTATCTTTTGATTGTACACGTTAAAATCTCATTTGAATCCCAACTCTTCTAGATATCTAAAAATACCAACAAAGTAAGCAGCTAGAAAAGCACAAGTTTGTGACAACTTTCCATCTCTTCTCAGTTATTCATTTATTGAATAATACAGCCACTTGGAACCAAATTCAGATTTATTTTAAAAGATTTATTTATTTATTTATGATAGACACAGAGAGAGAGAGGGAGATGGGGGAGGGGGGGAGAGAGAGAGAGAGAGAGGCAGAGACACAGGCAGAGGGAGAAGCAGGCTTCATGCCGGGAGCCCGATGCGGGACTCGATCCCGGGGCCCCAGGATCGCGCCCTGGGCCAAAGGCAGGCGCCAAACCGCCGAACCACCCAGGGATACCCCCAAATTCAGATTTTAAAAAATAAATCGCACTGCATACTCCACTTACCAGAGGGAAGCACGGATAACAAGTTCTAGTTTAAATTTCGAAAGATATTCAAAGCCTGTACAGTTTTATAAACTAATTGAATTCTTTTCTATTTGCTTAGATATGCTAAATTAAGTGTTTAAATTCACCTTTTCTACTGAAAATATTAAAAAAAAAAAAAAAGCAACAGCAATAAGGCTGATGGGAGATAAGGAAAGAGCCTGGAAGTACATTTTGAAAGGCAACCCCCACTACCACCTGAGGTTATTGTTAGTACCAGGAAGGAAGGAAACTTGGGAGCTTCAGACAGAATAAAGGTTTGTTTGCACATCGAGGAAGCCACTAATAACACAGTTACAATTCTTAAGGTGACTTTGGCTTGTTGTTTCATCATTGTTTGTTCCACCACCAAGAGGTAAAACTTAAAAGGAAAATAAAACGAAGAAGGAAAAGCTGAAATACAGAAAAGAACAGAGGTATTCCCCATTCACACACAGCAATGGGATGCTGCAACAAGCAAATTTTGTGTTTTACCTCTTGATCACGAACGAATTTCATGAATACCGCGGGCATACAATCAAGGAGCGACATGAAGAAAAGGGAAAAACTTCAAGTATGGTAACCCATTCCTACTGCCAGTGTTTAGTGCAGGCACACAAGTGCTCGTGCTGCTATAAATCCTGAAGGAAAGCGTTTTATTTATTTATTTTTTTAAGATTTTATTTATTCATGAGAGAGAGAGAGAGAGAGGCAGAGACACAGGCAGAGGGAGAAGCAGGCTCCATGCAGGGAGCCCGACCTGGGACTCGATCCCGGGACTCCAGGATCACGCCCTGGGCTGGAGGCAGGCGCTAAACCATACACCCAGGGATCCCCCAAGGAAAGCGTTTTAAATGCCACTTTCCAGAGATCTTTAACAAAAAACTGGACCGTTTACTAATGAACGAAGGCCTATCACTCGGAGGGTCGGATTAGCGATTGTGTTGACAAACACCTCACGGCCAGTAGTAGTTCCGATGGGACCAAATCTGAGAATGTTCCAATGCTTAACTGCAAAAATCTCAACCAAAAAAAAAAAAAAAATTACTGAATGGGATGATTTCACCCTGTTGAACGCTCGATTTGAGTTCGGTCGTGCCTCCTGGGACTTTCCGCTTCCAAGTCCTTTCTCCTTAAGCCTAGAGTTAGCAGGAGAGAATCACTAGTTCATCGAAGCACCTACGCATCCAGGGAAAGCTTCACCTTCGCAGTGACCCCCCCCCCCACACACACACACACTCTACACTTGTGGCCACAATTGCAACCTGAGCTCCTCAACACCTCGCTCGTCCGGGCCTCAGGGCGCAGACCCTACGGGAGAACAGCACAAAGGAGGAGGAGGGGGAGGAGGTCGCGGGGGGGGGGGGTCGGGGGTCGGGGGCGCGGGATCTCTGCAGGTGCCGGTTAGCAGCAGCAGCAGCAGCAGCAGCAGCAGCAGCAGAGCCTGGGCTGGGACCGCGGCCCCGCCCCGCCCCGCCGCCAGGTGGACTCGCGGGCTCCCCAGGAGGCAGCGCACGGGGAAGCCACGGGATGCCACGGGGCGCCTCTGCGTCCCCCGCGTCCCCCGCGTCCCCCGCCGCACCGCGCGAGGCCGGGCCTCTGACGCAGGAGCCCCGCCGAACCCGCCGGGCGCTCGGCATCCCCGAGAACCCCAGGTTGGGGTCGGGGGGCCGCAGGCGCCCACTGACAGCCAAGCCGCAAATCCTAGCTCGGCCCCACCCTCCGTGGGGGGAGGGGGGAGCTCCGAAGAGCGAGCACCAGCTTGGGAAAACCGTGCCCCCGCCGCTCGGCGCTCCGTCACCCCGACCCCAACCCACTCTCAGGCCCCAGGACCTACTCGCGCCGCCCCCCGCCCCCAAGGCCGGTGCCTAAGACTTCGGTTCGCACGCCAGATCCAAATCGCGCGAGGTACCGCCCCCCAGGGCACTCTGGGAATTGTAGTTCGCCAGCCAGGCAGAGGCGGCCGGCCGACGCTCACGTCCAGACCGACGGAACTACAAATCCCACGGCGCCCGAAGCTAGCTGGCCCGGCCGGCCACCGGGATGCCGGCGGCGGGGACACCCCTTTACCTGCTGTCGCCGCCGTCGCTGCAGCTGCCCCTGAGCCGCTGCCACCACTGCCACCGCGGTGGGGAGCGTTCCGCTTCTTATTCTTCGGCATCGTGGGACGCCCGGTGCCGCCTAAACTCGGAGCGTAGCGAGGATCAGCCGATGGAGCTGCACTTTTTACTCGTGCGTCTGTGCGGCGGGCGGCTAAGAGGCGAGTCTTCGGCTAACAACAGAGGCGAGAAGCGGCGGGGGTACGAGTGGGCGGTGGCAGCAGCAGAAATCCCCGTGAAGAGCTGTGATCGGAAACGATACATGTTTCTCTCTAGCGCGGGAGCTAAGGCGGGGCGGTGTGGGCCACGACGCCTTAAGTAGCAAGACCGCCGCCTGTCGTCACCATATGTGGGCGGGACTCGAACGCCGACCAGCCAATCCCTACAGATCTCCCCACCAGGGGCCCGCCTCCGGCGGCCGAGGGACGCTGACTACCAATCCCACGTCGCAAATCTGCCAGCGGGGCCCAGGGAGCAAGTCTTCGCTGCCGCACTGGCCTCTGGGAAATGTAGTACGCCTTGGTGGGGACGCTCCTGCTCCCGCCTGCCTCCCGACTCGTGACCTCTCCCGTACTTCCCAGGGGCCCCGCCTCGGAATAGCTTGAGTTGTTCCCGGCGATGAGCAATGGAGCGAGTATGCCTGGTGACGACGGCCAGCTTCCAGCTGGGAGCCACGCCACCCGCTTAGCTCATCTCTGGGTCGCGGCTGGCCTCCTGCTTAACCTCCCCCGGCTTCCGTGCAGCCGCCGCCGGGCGCCCCCATAGGCCCGCCGCGGGAACACCTCCAAGGTTTTAGCTGTTTAATTAGGTTAGCGGTCACCAATGTCTGTAATCGAGCTGTGCGCTTCTTACCCCCCACCCCTCCCGTGTGCTCCCTACCCCCCAAGAAAGGCTGTGCTTTAGTCTAGTTAGTCGTGTAGTGTGGGTATTTCTCCTATTAGGAACTAGAAAGATCTGGCTATTCGGTGTCACGTGAGTCACAAATTGTGCACAAGAGTGAGCCCTTTGACAAGTCGGCCTGCCAAGAGGTCAACCGGGGATAAGAGTTGGTTTCTGAGAATTTAACAGCTGGTAAAACAAACATGAACTGTAAATACCAACATCACGGTGTTCTGCATTTTCCGAGGTGCTCCGAGACAGCTCTGCATTTTTTCTTTTTTTTTTTTTTTAAGATTTTATTTATTTATGAGAGAGAGAGAGAGAGAGAGCCAGAGACACAGGCAGAGGGAGAAGCAGGCTCCATGCAGGGAGCCTGATGTGGGACTCGATCCCGGGACTCCAGGATCACGCTCTGGGTGGAAGGCAGGTGCCAAACCACTGAGCCACCCAGGGATCCCCTGGTTCGCATTTTCCGAGGTGCTATCTAGATAAGTCTTCCTCCTTACATTTGTTGTGTATTTAGGACCTGTTATTAGCGTCTGTCTTAGGCTTAGGACAGCCCCAACTCAACGGCCTCACCCCAGTGTGGGGGACCCATCCCCCACTCCACCTCTCCCCTGGCTCCTTCTCTTGTTCTCAGCCTCCTGCAGCACATTTCCACCGGAATGGGCCACCTGCACTTCAATATCGTTAAAAGGACAACTGTTTCCCTCTTCCTGTCTGCCCGTCGTGTCTCCACAGTACTACTGTTCTCCCCATATGTCCAAATTCAAAAACTCAACTTCATACATGGTTCCGGCTCTCTCTCCAGTGCCCCCCAGAACAATCAATTTTACAATAAAACTCAAATTCATGTCCTGTTCTCCTCGCACATGGCCTCAGTTCATACCTGGGCACTCTAAGGGACCTTCCAGTTTTTTCACCAAGGTTTCACGCGTGATAATGCTGCCAGGTTTATTTATGGCTCCCCTTTATTACTAATGCACTAATTTAATAGTTGCTCAAAAACATTCGTTGGTTCCATCACCACTATGTTCGATGCCAACCGTCTTAGCCCGGCCTGGGCTCCCTGTCCAGCTCCACCTCTCCCTGCTTCCCCAAACACATCCCAATCTTCAGCCACACTGCACCGACTGCTTGTCATTGCCAGGACACAGCTCTGCTCCCCTCCTCCGTTTTATCGCTCACATAGTTCCATGTTCTTGTAATGCCCTGACTCTCACCTTCATCTTAACACTTTATCCCGCCTTTCAAGATCTAGCTCAAATGCCACCTCCTTCATAAATACTTAACCAGAATTGTTTCTTCCTCCTGACAACTCTTAGGGCTCTTTGTAACGTTCTATCGCCACTTATTATATCCCTACAGGCCACACAGGTTATTCAAAGATGTTCTTCAAGGGGCCATATTTTGGGGTAGCTTTCCCTCTGTTGAATCCTGAAGCAGCAAGTAAACCAAATAAGGATACAGGTTGATGGACACGGCTCCCACTCACCTCCTTCCATCAGCCCTCCAGACGACTACACATCTGAAGTCGTGACCTTGGCCCGCATTGAGTGAGGTGACGCCAGGTTGGAGGAGCACAGAACTCCATACCTTTTGTGACACCAGGCTCTCCATCATCCAGAAATAACTAACACTACACAGAAGGCAATAATTTTACTACAGTCTGAGCCCATTTCCCAGGCTGGATGTCCAGGTTCCAGGCTTTGATCTGTGCCTCGCCTGCATTTGGGGCACGTTCCTTTTATTTGCATCCATGTTCATGTCCACTTAGAGGCTGTTCTTGGGCAGGCCCAGCCATGGCCTACCACATGACATACGTACTTGTTTTACGTTTATTTATGAACACATGCGTCATTTAATAAAATTGCCAGCTCCCCAAGAACAAGAACCTTGTTTTCATCATCTCTGTTCTTCATGGCATATAAAGAAGTGTTATCTTTGTAATTATAGCCAGTATATGTTAAATGAACTTCTAGGAAATAATTGTTGACTATATTTCTCTAGTGTAAAAAAAGGGAAAAACATTACATACACAGAAGATAAGTTTCAAATTATGAACTCTGAGACGTATTTTTGATAAATTCATCTTAATATATATTTTATATTTTATATTTTATTTTTATGCCTGTAGTTACCTCAGATTAAGTGCCAGAAAGATGCACAGTTCTCACAAGACAGTGGACCTTAATTCCACCCATTGGCTTTACAACATATTTAAAGAAATTACAGACTCCCAACAACACTGAGTCACCAAATGACTACAAATAGCAGGAGGAAAGGGGAACAGGACACAAGGGCCTTTTCCTAGCCAGAATTTGCCTTTTTTTACCCAGGAAAGAATACCTTTTCCAGGGACTTCTGCCTAGATCTCACTAGCCAGGCTTTTGTCACACGATGATCTTTGGCCAAAGGGGAGTCTAGGGGCAGCCCCAGTGGCTCAGCAGTTTAACACCGCCTTCAGCGCAGGGCGGGATCCTGGAGACCCCGGATCGAGTCCCCCACGTCGGGCTTCCTGCATGGAGCCTGCTTCTCCCTCTGCCTGTGTCTCTGCCTCTCTCTCTCATGAATAAATAAATAAAATCTTTAAAAAGGGGGCGGGGGGAGTCTAGAAGACAAGTATTTTCAGCTGGGCTTACTGACGGTCAAATCTGAGGTTCCGTTAATAAGAACAAAGGGGAGATCATGGATGTGGGGTGGCAGCTAGCAGTGTCTGCTTCTTGTACTCTGAGACAAAGTTTTCCCATGATCTAATAAATATCACATGTTTGCTACCAACTTGACCTTATGTGCTGCCTCTCACCTCTGAGTAGAAGAAAGATGTGTCCTCCTCCTGTGAAATACAACCTACTCAGATATCACTATCACAGTAAATACACTCATTGTTACAAAAATAAATGGTACATTAATCTGAATTTGTGGGCACACCTATCTGAGAAGAGTTCTAAGCTGCTCATGGGGTCAGTATATTGAGAAATATGGTTCAAGAACAATTAACACAAGTAAGACTTGGTATTCAAACCTCCTTTGAAGGCATAAACATAAAAGGTTGTCTTTGAATGACTTTAGTCATGGCTTCCTTGGGATTCCTTGCATAGTATTAAGCAAAATTAAATGTCTCCCAGATCCAGCTAAGACTTCTCATAACCTCGTTGCTGCCTGTCTCTTCCAACCCACCTCTCATCACCTAACAACACAGTCCCTTCCCTTTGACCATATGGAACTCCTGGCAGGTCTCGGAGCTCATCGTGCTCACCAGGCCTCATACAGGCCTGGTGCCTCGCTACTTCTCCCGCCTGACTTCTCACCCACTACACTTTGCCTAAGTGTCTTCTTTGCCACCTCAGAATACAAAGTTCATTCCCTACCCCTTAGACTTCTGTACCAGCCCTCCCTCACCCTTGAGCTTCCACAATTGCCATTCAGATCTCAGCTTAAGTGACGCCTCCCTTAGGAGGCCCCACCCTTACTCTCCATCCTGATGTGGTCCTCTCACCCCACTTAACACACGACCCCCCATGTATGTTATTCCTCTAAAGCATATCTCACCACCTGTTTCTCAGGTTCAGTCATTGTTTTCTCTTGGCCTTACTACAATGTCAGAATTATGAGAAAAGAGATTTCGTTTTAGTCACTGCTGTATCTTCAGTATTGGCACTTAGTAGATATTCATGTTTGCCAAATGAATAAAGGGACAAATAACTGAATGTCACTCCTCTGCCTGGAACATCCTTCTCCACAATCTCCCCTCATCCTTTAAGTCACCAATCCTGGGCCTCACGCCCCCATAGCATCAGGGTTAAATATCTTTCTTCTACAATCCTATAGTGCCTTCCCTAGAATAGCATTAGTTATACATATTGTAATTCCTGATGACCACTCCCCATCAGACACAGAGTGGGCAAAGTCCAAGATCATCATTACTGAATCAGACACCAAAGTTTACAAGCACCTGAGCTTTACATGTAGCACTCTTGGGATGCCTGGGTGGCTCCCGGGTCTGGGGATGGAGTCCTATATCAGGCTTCTTGCAGGGAGCCAGCTTCTCCCTCTGCCTGTGTCTCTGCTTCTCTCTGTGTGTCTCTCATGAATAAGTAAAATCTTAAAAAAAAAAAATACATGTAGTACTCTTGTGCAAATTAGCAGGCAAGGGCACCCAGTTTAATGGGTGATAATGAGCTGGAATTCAAGCCCCCTTTCCCTCTTCATCAGGCAACAACCTGTCCATCTGTACACAGTGGCCCTGGTAGGTGGCCCTAGTAAGTGTTTAATTCAGTGAGGGAGTGAATTTCTTCTGTAAAACTGCAAACTCAGAATTTTGTAAAACT